CCAACGCTGTCCCCAATGTCCCCACTGTCCCCCAGGAGCAGACCACCTTCATCTGCGTGTGCATCGCCGAGTTCCTGTCGCTGTGTCCCTGTGTCCATGTACCTCTGGCTGTGCTGTCCCTCTGTTGGTGTCCCCAATGACCCCAATGGTGTCCCCAATGTCCCCACTGTCCCCCCAGGAGCAGACCACGTTCATCTGCGTGTGCATCGCCGAGTTCCTGTCGCTCTACGAGACGGAGAGGCTGATCCAGGAGCTGGCCAAGTGCCGCATCGACACCCACAACATCGTGGTGAACCAGCTCGTGTTCCCCGACCCGCTGCGGCCCTGCCGCATGTGCGAGGCGCGCCACAAGATCCAGGCCAAGTACCTGGACCAGGTAAAACGCACCTGGGGGGGGGTAAAAAGGGGCTAAAAAGGGGTTTGAGGGGTTAAAAAGGGGTTTGAGGGGTTAAAAAGGGGGTTTGAGGGGTTAAAAAGGGGTTTAGGGCGAGTATCTGGGCCAGATAAACACACCTGGGGGGGTTCAAAAGGGGTTTAAGGGGTTAAAAGGGGTTTAGGGTGAGTACCTGGGCCAGGTAAACACACCTGGGGGGGCTAAAAAGGGATGGATAGGGGTTCAAAAGGGATTTATGGGGTTAAAAAGGGGTTTATGGGGTTTAAAAGGGGTTTAGGGTGAGTACCTGGGCCAGGTAAACACAGCTGGGAGGGGTTCAAAAGGGATTGAAAGGGGTTAAAAAGGGGTTTGAGGGGTTAAAAGGGGTTTAGGGCAAGTACCTGGGCCAGGTAAAACACACCTGGGGGTTAGAAAGGGGTTAAAAAGGGATTTATGGGGTTAAAAAGGGGTTTAGGGCAAGTAGCTGGGGAGGGGACCCAGGGTGGATTTTGGGGGTTTTTGGGGTTTTTATTGCGTTTTTTTTGGGGTTTTATGGGGTTTGCCCCACCCACATTAAGGGAGGAGCCAGGACCGGGATGGGGGGCGGGGAATTTCAAACCGGGGGGGTCTCAGGGTGGGATTTTGGGGGTCCCATCACGCCCCCCCCCGCAGATGGAGGACCTGTACGAGGATTTCCACATCGTGAAGCTGCCGCTGCTGCCCCACGAGGTGCGGGGGGGGGGACAAGGTCAACACCTTCAGCTCCCTCCTGCTGGACCCCTACCAACCCCCCAGCCCCAAATAACCCCCCCGGGACCCCCAAAAACGACCCCAAACCCCCCCCCCCCCTCATTCTGGGGGTTGGGGGGGGGGGGCACAGCCCCTATTTATGCCCCTCCCCCCCAATTTTGGGGAGGGGGGGGCGGTTCTGCCCTGTCCCCTCCCCCCCCCCCCACCGGGGCTGTGTGCACCCCCTCCCCCCCCCCGAAATTTGGGGAGGGGGGGGGCGGAGGCGGGACCCCCTCCCGGAGAGGGGGGGGCGTGTAAATAATAAATTTGAGAAGCAAAATGAGTTTGGGGGGGTCCTGATGGATTTGGGGGGGGTTCGGATGGATTTGGGGGTCCTGATGGATTTGGGGGGGTCCGGATGAATTTGGGGGGGGTTCGGATGGATTTGAGGGAGTCTGGATAAATTTGGGGGGCTCCACTTGGATTTTGGGGAGGTCTGGATGAATTTGGGGGTTCCAGATGAATTTGGGGGGGGTCCGGATGGATTTGGGGGGGATCCTGATGGATTTTGAGGGGATCCTGATGGATTTGGGGGGTTCCAGATGAATTTGGGGAGGTCCGGATGGATTTTGGGGGGGGTCCGGATGAATTTGGGGCAGTCCAGATTGATTTTAAGGGGGTCCAGATGGATTTGGGGGGGTCCGGATGAATTTGGGGAGGTCCAGATGGATTTTGAGGGGATCCTGATGGATTTAGGGGGGTCCGGACAGATTCGGGGGGCTCGGGACGGATTTTGGGGGGGGTCCTGGGGTGAATTTGGGAGTTCCAGATGGATTTTGGGGGAGCTCCAGATGGATTTTGGGGGCGTCCGGCCGGATTCGGGGGTCTCTGGACAGATTTGGGGAGGATCCGGATGAATTTGGGGGGGTCCTGGGGTGAATTTGGGGGGGGTCCGGACGGATTTTGGGGCGGTGACGTCAGCGCCGCTGGCCCCGAGCCCGCGGCCCCGGGGGCGCCTCATTAACGGCGGATTAAGGGGGGGGTCCTGGGGAGGATTTGGGGGTCCTGGGGAGGATTTGGGGGTCCCGGGGGAGGATTTGGGGGTCCCGGGGGGGATTTCGGGGTCCAGGAGGGGTTCGGGATCCCGGGGGGGGCTCAAAGGGGGTGCGGGGATGTTTTGGGGGGGGTCCCCATGGCCGCCACCCCCCCCCGCCCATGTCCTGTCCCTTTGCCCCCCCCGCCCCTGCTGGGATCTGTCCCCGGTGCTGGCCCGAGGCCACCGGGACCGAGCCAGAGCCGCGGGGGGGCCCAAATTAACATGGTCGGTCCCAAATTAACCCCCCCGAGCCCAAATTAACATCGTCGGTCCCAAATTGACATCGTCGGTCCCAAATTAACCCCCCCGGGCCCTTAAAATCCCCACCCCCCCCTCCCCAAATTAACCCCGCCACAGCCTCGGGGCCGTTCGGGACCGGCCCGACCGGCGCGGCCGCTCCCGGGGGGCCGGAGCGGGACCCCCCCGCTCTGTCCCCGTGTCCCCTCCCCAATGTCCCCTCGGGGTCGCCCCCCGCGGGCTGGCCCGGCCCTGCCGCCATTTAAGGGCTGGAGCGGGGCGGAGGCACCGGGACCGGACCGGGACTGGGGCGGTGACTGCAGAGCTCGGACCGGGGGTGGTCACAGAAACCGGGACCGGAGTAGGCCACAGAAACCGGGACCGGGGGTGACCACGGAACCCGGAGCCGGATTGGTCACAGAGCCCCAGAGCCCCGGTGGTCACAGAACCCGGACCGGGGCAGGGTCACACAGACCGGGAGTGACCACAGAGCTCGGACCGGGAGTGACCACGGAACCGGGACCAGGGGTGACCACAGGAACCGGACCAGGGTTGGTCACAGAGCTCGGACCAGGGCGGTGACCGCAGAGCTCAGGCCAGGAGTGACCACGGAGCTCGGACCAGCGGTGGCCGCAGGTGAGGGGGGACACAAAGGGAGGGCTGGTGGGTGGTCCCCGGTGTCCCCCAGTGTCCCCTGGTGTCCCCCAGTGTCCCCCAGTGTCCCGCTTTGTCCCACAGGTGTCCCACTGTCCGCCAGCCCCCATGACCGTCACTTACACGTCCCTGTGTCCCTCAGGTGTCCCTCAGGTGTCCCTCAGGTGTCCCTCAGGTGTCCGTCTGTCCGTCCGTCTGTCCCCATGACCATCACCTACACGTCCCCTGTGTCCCTCAGGTGTCCCTCAGGTGTCCCTCAGGCGTCCGTCCGTCCGTCCGTCTGTCCCCATGACCGTCACCTACACGTCCCTGTGTCCCTCAGGCGTCCGTCCGTCCGTCCGTCCGTCCCCATGACCGTCACCTACACGTCCCTGTGTCCCTCAGGTGTCCGTCTGTCCGTCCGCCCACCCCCATGACCGTCACCTACACGTCCTTGTGTCCCTCAGGTGTCCCTGTGTCCCTCAGGCGTCCGTCTGTCCGTCCGTCCATCCCCATGACCGTCACCTACACGTCCCTGTGTCCCTCAGGTGTCCGTCTGTCCGTCCGTCTGTCCCCATGACCGTCACCTACACATCCCTGTGTCCCTCAGGTGTCCCTCAGGTGTCCCTCAGGTGTCCCTGTGTCCCTCAGGTGTCCGTCTGTCCGTCCGCCCACCCCCATGACCGTCACCTACACGTCCCCTGTGTCCCTCAGGTGTCCCTGTGTCCCTCAGGTGTCCCTCTGTCTGTCCCCATGACCGTCACCTACACGTGCCCTGTGTCCCTCAGGTGTCCCTCAGGTGTCCATCTGTCCGTCCGCCCACCCCCATGACCGTCACCTACATGTCCCCTGTGTCCCTCAGGTGTCCCTGTGTCCCTCAGGTGTCCCTCTGTCTGTCCCCATGACCGTCACTTACACATCCCTGTGTCCCTCAGGTGTCCCTCAGGTGTCCCTCAGGTGTCTGTCCGTCCGTCTGTCCCCATGACCGTCACCTACACGTCCCTGTGTCCCTCAGGTGTCCCTCAGGTGTCCCTCAGGTGTCCGTCTGTCCGTCCACCCCCATGACCATCACCTACACGTCCCCTGTGTCCCTCAGGTGTCCCCGCGTCCCTCAGGTGTCCGTCTGTCCGTCCATCTGTCCCCATGACCGTCACCTACACGTGCCCTGTGTCCCTCAGGTGTCCCTCAGGTGTCCGTCTGTCCGTCCGTCTGTCCCCATGACCGTCACCTACACGTCCCTGTGTCCCTCAGGTGTCCCTCAGGTGTCCCTCAGGTGTCTGTCCGTCCGTCTGTCCCCATGACCGTCACCTACACGTCCCTGTGTCCCTCAGGTGTCCCTCAGGTGTCCCTCAGGCGTCCCTCAGGTGTCCGTCTGTCCGTCCGTCTGTCCCCATGACCGTCACCTACACGTCCCTGTGTCCCTCAGGTGTCCCTCAGGTGTCCCTCAGGCGTCCCTCAGGTGTCCGTCTGTCCGTCCGTCTGTCCCCATGACCGTCACCTACACGTCCCTGTGTCCCTCAGGTGTCCCTCAGGCGTCCGTCTGTCCATCCATCTGTCCCCATGACCGTCACCTACACGTCCCTGTGTCCCTCAGGTGTCCCTCAGGTGTCCCTCAGGTGTCCCTCAGGCGTCCATCTGTCCGTCCGTCTGTCCCCATGACCGTCACCTACACGTCCCTGTGTCCCTCAGGTGTCCATCTGTCCGTCCGTCTGTCCCCATGACCGTCACCTACACGTGCCTGTGTCCCTCAGGTGTCCCTCAGGCGTCTGTCTGTCTGTCTGTCCACCCCCATGACCATCACCTACACATCCCTGTGTCCCTCAGGCGTCCGTCTGTCCATCCATCTGTCCCCATGACCGTCACCTACAGGTCCCTGTGTCCCTCAGGTGTCCCTCAGGCGTCCCTCAGGTGTCCGTCTGTCCGTCCGTCCCCATGACCGTCACCTACACGTCCCGTGTGGCCACCGCGCGCTTCGGGGGCTTCTCGCGGCTGCTGCTGCTGTGGCGCGGGAGCATCTACAAACTGCTCTACCGGGAGCTGCTCCTCTTCCTCACCGCCTACCTGGGGCTCAGCCTGGCCTACCGGTGACACCGGGGGGACACCGGGGGGACACCGGGACACTGGGACATTGGGGGGACACCGGGACATTGGGACAGCGGGGGGACAATGAGCACCAGGGGACAGGGGGGGACAGCGGGACAGGGGGGGATATGGGGACACAAGGACACCGGGGGGACAGCAGGGGGACACTGAGGGGACATTGGGACACCGGGGGGACAATGGGCACCGGGGGACACGTGGGGACAGCAGGACAGGGGGGATATGGGGACACAGGGACACCGCGGGGACAGCGGGACAGGAAGGACACTGGGACAGGGGGCAGCGGGACAGGGGGGGTGACACGGGGACACTGAGATATGGGAGACAATGGCGGGGAGCGGGGACACGAGGACACCGGGACATGGAGGGGCACAGGGACACGGCAGGGACATGGGGACGGTGATGGGGACAGGACAGGGACAGGACAGGGACAGGGCGGTGACACGGCCGGCGTCCCGCCAGGTTCCTGCTGTCCGAGGAGCAGCGGCGCCTCTTTGAGAAGCTGGTGCTGTACTGCGACAAATCGGCCGAGCTCATCCCCGTGTCCTTCGTGCTCGGTGAGAGCCGGGACCACCCCGGGACCCACCCTGGGACCCCCAGGACCATCCCCAGGACCCCCAGAACCACCCCCGGGACCCCCAGGACCACCCCCGGGACCCCCGAGACCCCCAGGACCATCCCCAGGACCCCCAGAACCACCCCCGGCACCCCCAGGACCACCCCCGGGACTCCCAGAACCACCCCCGGGACCCCCAGAACCACCCCCGGGACCCCCGAGACCCCCAAAACCACCCCCAGGACCCCCAGAACCACCCCCGGGACCCCCCCTGGGACCCCCAGAACCACCCCCAGGACCCCCAGCACTCCCAGGACCATCCCCAGGACCACCCTCGGGATCCCCCACAACTTCCCCATTCCCCCCAATGTCCCTCCCAGTGCCCCCAGTGTCCCTCCCATTACCCCTCCCAGCGCTCCCAGTTCTCCCAGTGCCCCCAATTCCCCTCCCAGTGCCCCTCTCAGTGCTCCCTGTCTTCCCAGTACCCTCCCAGTTGTCCCAGTACCCCCAGTACCCCACCCATTACCCCTCCCAATTCTCCCAGTGCCCCTCCCAGTACCCCCAGTGCCCCTCCCCTTTCTCTCCCATTCCCCCATTCCCCATTCCCCCCATTCCCCGCAGGTTTTTACGTGGCGCTGGTGCTGGAGCGCTGGTGGGGGCAGTTCCGGACGGTGCCGGCCCCGGACGGGCTCATGGTGGCCGTGGGCAGCAGCGTGAGGGGCTCGGACGCGCGGGGGCGGCTCCTGCGCCGGACGCTGCTGCGCTACGGGAGCCTGGCGGCGCTGCTGGTGCTCAGGGCGGTCAGCACGCCCGTGTACAAGAGATTTCCCACCACTGACCACCTGGTACAGGCCGGTGAGTGACCACTGAGTGACCACTGAGTGACCAGGGAGGGGTTATTGTGAGCATTGTGAGTCAGGGCCTGCTGCGCTACGGGAGCCTGGCGGCGCTGCTGGTGCTCAGAGCGGTCAGCACGCCCGTGTACAAACGATTTCCCACCACTGACCACCTGGTACAGGCCGGTGAGTGACCACTGAGTGATTGTGAGTGACCACTGAGTGATTGTGAGTGACCACTGAGTGACCATTGAGTGATTACTGTGAGCATTGTGAGTGGTCAGGGCCTGCTGCGCTACAGGAGCCTGGCGGCGCTGCTGGTGCTCAGAGCGGTCAGCACGCCGGTCTATAAGAGATTTCCCACCACTGACCACCTGGTACAGGCCGGTGAGTGACCACTGAGTGACCACTGAGTGACCACTGAGTGACCAGGGAGGGGTTACTGTGACCATTGTGGGTGTCAGGGCCTGCTGCGCTACGGGAGCCTGGCGGCGCTGCTGGTGCTCAGAGTGGTCAGCACGCCCGTGTACAAGAGATTTCCCACCACTGACCACCTGGTACAGGCCGGTGAGTGACCGCTGAGTGACCACTGAGTGACCACTGAGTGACCAGGGAGGGGTTACTGTGACCATTGTGGGTGTCAGGGCCTGCTGTGCTACAGGAGCCTGGCGGCGCTGCTGGTGCTCAGGGCGGTCAGCACGCCCGTGTACAAGAGATTTCCCACCACTGACCACCTGGTACAGGCCGGTGAGTGACCACTGAGTGACCATTGAGTGACCACTGAGTGACCACTGAGTGACCACTGAGTGACCAGGGAGGGGTTATTGTGGCCATTGTGGGTATCAGGGCCTGCTGTGCTACAGGAGCCTGGCGGCGCTGCTGGTGCTCAGGGCGGTCAGCACGCCCGTGTACAAGAGATTTCCCACCACTGACCACCTGGTACAGGCCGGTGAGTGACCACTGAGTGATTGTGAGTGACCACTGAGTGATTGTGAGTGACCACTGAGTGACCATTGAGTGATTACTGTGAGCATTGTGAGTGTCAGGCCCTGCTGCGCTACGGGAGCCTGGCGGCGCTGCTGGTGCTCAGAGCGGTCAGCACGCCCGTGTACAAACGATTTCCCACCACTGACCACCTGGTACAGGCCGGTGAGTGACCACTGAGTGATTGTGAGTGACCATTGAGTGATTGTGAGTGACCATTGAGTGACCAGGGAGGGGTTATTGTGAGCATTGTGAGTGGTCAGGGCCTGCTGTGCTACGGGAGCCTGGCGGCGCTGCTGGTGCTCAGGGCGGTCAGCACACCCGTGTACAAGAGATTTCCCGCCACTGACCACCTGGTACAGGCCGGTGAGTGACCGCCGAGTGACCACTGAGTGACCAGGGAGGGGTTATTGTGAGTATTGTGAGCATCAGGGCCTGCTGCGCTACGGGAGCCTGGCGGCGCTGCTGGTGCTCAGAGCGGTCAGCACGCCCGTGTACAAGAGATTTCCCACCACTGACCACCTGGTACAGGCCGGTGAGTGACCGCTGAGTGACCATTGAGTGACCATTGAGTGATTGTGAGTGACCATTGAGTGACCATTGAGTGATGTGAGTGACCATTGAGTGACCACTGAGTGACCAGGGAGTGACCAGGGAGTGACCGTGGGCACAGGGACTGCCTGGTGAGTGACCACTGAGTGATTGTGAGTGATTATGAGTGACCATTGAATGACTGTGAGTGACCACTGAGTGACCACTGAGTGACCACTGAGTGACCACCGACCATGTGGTGTGGGCCAATGAGCGAGCAGTGACGTCACCAGGGTGTCAGGGCAGCGTGGGGTGATGTCACAGCTCAGGGGAGGGTGATGTCATCATTCAGCGGGTGATGTCACAACTCAGGAGTGACGTCATTGCTCAGTGGTGATGTCACAGCTCAGTGGGTGATGTCATGGCTCAGGAATGACGTCACAGCTTGGGGTTGACATCATGAGTCAGTGGGTGACGTCACAGCTCAGGGATGATGTCACACCTCAGGGTGTGATGTCACAGCTCAAGGGTGATGTCATCACTCAGTGGGCGAGGTCACGGCTCAAGGGTGACATCATGGCTCAGGAATGATGTCACAGCTCAGGTGTAATGTCAGGGCTCAGGGATGACATCACGGCTCAGGGGTGACGTCACAGCTCAGAGGGTGACATCACAGCTCAGAGGGTGACGTCACAGCCCGGCGATGACGTCACGTCCCCGCAGGGTTCCTGACGCGCGAGGAGCGGCGCCGGCTCGAGGCTCTGCGCTCTCCCTACAACAAGTTCTGGGTGCCCTGCGTGTGGTTCGGGGCGCTGGCGGGGCGGGCGCGGCAGGAGGGGCGCATCGGGGACGACTGCGCGCTCAAGCTGCTCATGGAGGTACCCCCGGGACCCCCTAAACCACCCCTGAACCCCCCCCGAGACCCCTAAACACCCCCTGTGTGCTCAAGCTCATGGAGGTACCTGGGAGCCCCCTGGGACCCCCTAAACCACCCCTGAACCCCCCCTGAAACCCTAAACCCGCCCTGCGCCCTCAGGATGCTCATGGAGGTACCTCCGGGACACCCCCAAATCCCCTCTGAGCCCCCTAAACCACCCCTAAACCCTCCCTGTGCGCTCAAGCTGCTCATGGAGGTACCCCCAGGACCCTCCTGGGACCCCCTAAACCCCCTCTGAGCCCCCCCCTGAACCACCCCAAACCCCTCAGAGCCCCCAGACCCTCCCTGGGATCCCCTAAACCACCCCTGGGACCCCCCTGAACCCCCCCAAAACCACCCCAAAACCTCTCCTGAGATCCCCCTGAGACCCCCGGGACCCCCCTGAGACCCCCGGGACCCCCCTGAGCCCCCTGGGACCCCCCCCCTCCAGGAGCTGAACCGGTTCCGGGCCCACTGCAGCCTCCTGTTCCACTACGACTGGATCAGCGTCCCCCTGGTGTACACACAGGTGGGCACTGGGAGCACTGGGAGGCACTGGGGGGGGACTGGGAGGGACTGGGCACCACCTGGGGCACACCTGGGCACACCTGGGCACACCTGGGTACACACAGGTGGGCACTGGGAGCACTGGGAGGCACTGGGGGGGGACTGGGAGGGACTGGGCACCACCTGGGGCACACCTGGGCACACACAGGTGAGCACTGGGAGGGACTGGGAGGGACTGGGAGGGACTGGGCACCACCTGGGGCACACCTGGGCACACCTGGGCACACACAGGTGGGCACTGGGAGCACTGGGGGGGACTGGGCACCACCTGGGGCACACCTGGGCACACCTGGGTACACACAGGTGGGCACTGGGAGGGACTGAGAGGGACTGGGCACCACCTGGGGCACACCTGGGCACACCTGGGCACATACAGGTGGGCACTGGGAGCACTGGGGGGGACTGGGCACCACCTGGGGCACACCTGGGCACACCTGGGTACACACAGGTGGGCACTGGGAGGGACTGGGAGTGACTGGGGGACAGTGAAGGGACACCTGGGGGGAGTGAGGGCACATCTGGGACAGGGCTGAGGACACCTGAGGGACACCTGGGGACACCTGAGGGACACCTGGGGACACCTGGGGGGAGTGAGGGCACATCTGGGACAGGGCTGAGGACACCTGAGGGACACCTGGGGACACCTGTGGAGGTGACGGCGGATGCCACGGAGGCGACAGCGGGCGCCACTCACCCCAGCCAGGTGTTGTCCCCCTCCCCAGGTGGTGACAATGTCCCTGTGTCCCCCAGGTGGTGACAATGTCCCCGTGTGTCCCCAGGTGCTGACAATGTCCCCGTGTGTCCCCCCAGGTGCTGACAATGTCCCTGTGTCCCCCCAGGTGGTGACAATGTCCCCCTGTGTCCCTGTGTCCCCCCAGGTGGTGACAATGTCCCTGTGTCCCCCCAGGTGGTGACAATGTCCCCGTGCCCCCAGGTGGTGACAATGTCCCTGTGTCCCCCCAGGTGGTGACCATCGCCGTTTACACCTTTTTCCTCACCTGCCTGGTGGGGCGGCAGTTCCTGGACCCCGCCCAGGGCTACCCCGGGCACGAGCTGGACCTGGGCGTGCCCGTGTTCACCCTGCTGCAGTTCTTCTTCTACGTGGGCTGGCTCAAGGTACACCTGGGATACACCTGGGATACACCTGGGTACACCTGGGATATACCTGGGTACACCTGGGGGCATGGGGGATACACCTGGGTACACCTGGGTACACCTGGGATACACCTGGGCACACCTGGGTACACCTGGGGCACACCTGGGGCACACCTGGGTACACCTGGGTACACCTGGGGCACACCTGGGTACACCTGGGATACACCTGGGTACACCTGGGTACACCTGGGTACACCTGGGGCACACCTGGGCACACCTGGGCACACCTGGGCACACATGGGGCACACCTGGGTACACCTGAGCACACCTGGGTACACCTGGGGCACACCTGGGTACACCTGGGATACACCTGGAATACACCTGGGTACACCTGGGCACACCTGGGCACACCTGGGGCACACCTGGACACACCTGGGCACACCTGGGTACACCTGGGTACACCTGGGGTACACCTGGGCACACCTGGGGCACACCTGGGCACACCTGGGGCACACCTGGGCACACCTGGGCACACCTGGGGCACACCTGGGATACACCTGGGCACACCTGGGCACCCCTGGGCACACCTGGGCACACCTGGGCACACCTGGCCCTGTCCTGCAGGTGGCAGAGCAGCTCATTAACCCCTTCGGGGAGGATGACGACGACTTTGAGACCAACACCCTGATCGACCGCAACTTCCAGGTGAGGGCGGGGGTCCCAGGTGGGTGAGGGGGCACAGGTGGGTGAGGGGGGGTCCCAGGTGTGTGGTGGGGGGGGTGGGGGGGGGGCTCAGGTGATCCCAGGTGCCCCCAGCTGACCCCAGGTGCCCTCAGGTGTGTGAGAGGTGACCCCGGGTCCCTCCACGTGCCCCTGGTGCCCCCCCAGGTGTATCAGGGGTGCCCCCAGGTGTGTCAGGGATGCCCCCAGGTGTGCCCAGGTACCCCCAGCTGTGCCCAGGTGCCCCCAGGTGTGTCCAGGTGTATCAGGGGTGCCCCCAGGTGTGCCCAGGTGCACCCAGGTGCCCCCCGGTGCCCGCAGGTTTATCAAGGGTGCCCTCAGGTGTGCCCAGGTACCCCCAGGTGTATCAGGGGTGCCTGCAGGTCTATCAGGGGTGCCCCCAGGTGTGCCCAGGTGTATCAGGGGTGCCCCCAGGTGTGTCAGAGGTGCCCCCAGGTGCCCCCAGGTGTATCAGAGATGCCCCCAGGTGTGCCCAGGTGCCCGCAGGTGTATCAGGGGTGCCCCCAGGTGCCCCCAGGTCTATCAGGGGTGCCCCCCAGGTGCCCGCAGGTGCTCCCCGGTTCCCGCAGGTGTATCAGGGGTGCCCCCAGGTGTATCAGGTGTGCCCAGGTACCCCCAGGTGTATCAGAGGTACCCCCAGGTGTCCCCCGGTTCCGCAGGTGTGTCAGGGATGCCCCCAGGTTCCCCCAGGTGTATCAGAGGTACCCCCAGGTGCCCCCCGGTTCCGCAGGTGTATCAGAGGTGCCCCCAGGTGTATCAGGTGTGCCCCAGGTGCCCCCAGGTACCCCCAGGTGCCCCCAGGTGCCCCCAGGTGCCCCAGGTACCCCCAGATACCCCCAGGTGCCCCCCGGTTCCGCAGGTGTATCAGAGGTGCTCCCAGGTGTATCAGGTGTGCCCCAGGTGCCCCCAGGTACCCCAGGTACCCCCAGGTGCCCCCCGGTGCCCCCCGGTTCCGCAGGTGTCCATGCTGGCCGTGGACGAGCTCTACGGGGGGGTCCCGGAGCTGGAGCGGGATCGGTTCTGGGACGCCGCCGTTCCCCGCCCCCCCTACACGGCCGCGGCCGCGCCCCCCCCGCGCCGCCCCTTCCGCGGCTCCGCCTTCGACGTCACGTGAGCAGCAACGGGACCACGCCCACCCCCCAAAAATCCGGGAGATCCCCCCCAAAAACCCGGGATCCACCCCCCAAACCCGGGATATCCCCGAACCCCAAAAATCCGGGAGATCCCCCCAAAAAGCCGGGATCCACCCCCCAAACCCGGGATATCCCCGAACCCCAAAAATCCGGGAGATCCCCCCCAAAAACCCGGGATCCACCCCCAAACCCGGGATATCCCCGAACCCCAAAAATCCGGGAGATCCCCCCCAAAAAACCCGGGATCCACCCCAAACCCGGGATATCCCCGAACCCCAAAAATCCTGGGATCCCCCCCCCAACCCACCCAAACCCGAACCCCCCCAAAATCCTGGGATTTTCCCCAAAAATCCGAACCCCCCCCCCCAAACCCGGGATATCCCCGAACCCCAAAAATCCGGGAGATCCCCCCCAAAAAACCCGGGATCCACCCCAAACCCGGGATATCCCCGAACCCCAAAAATCCGGGAGATCCCCCCCAAAAAACCCGGGATCCACCCCAAACCCGGGATATCCCCGAACCCCCAAAAATCCGGGAGACGCCCCCCAAAAACCCGAACCCCCCCAAACCCGGGATATCCCCGAACCCCAAAAATCCGGGAGATCCCCCCAAAAACCCGAACCCCCCCCCAAACCCGGGATATCCCCCAGGGCTCCCAAAATCCTGGGATTCCCCCCCAAAAACCCGGGATCCACCCCCCAAACCCGGGATATCCCCGAACCCCAAAAATCCTGGGATTCCCCCCAAAAAACCCGGGATCCACCGAACCCCCCCCAAACCCGGGATATCCCCGAACCCCAAAAATCCGGGAGACGCCCCCAAAAACCCGAACCCCCCCCCACAAACCCGGGATATCCCCCAGGGCTCCCAAAATCCTGGGATTCCCCCCCCAACCCACCCAAACCCGAACCCCCCAAAATCCGGGAGACCCCCCCAAAAACCCGAACCCCCCCAAACCCGGGATATCCCCGAACCCCCCCAAAATCCCGGGACCCCCCCCCAAAATTCTGGGATCCCCCCACAAAATTCCAAAATTCCCGGGATAATTTGGGGTTTTTTGGGGTTTCTAGGGAGGATTTTTGGGGTTTCTAGGGAGGATTTTTGGGGGGTTTTTTTGGAATGATTTTGGGGTTTTTTGGGGATGATTTTGGTGTTTTTTTGGGGATGATTTTGAGGTTTTTTTGGGGATGATTTTGGGGGTTTTTTTGGAGATATTTTGGGGTTTTTCTGGGGAGGATTTTGGGGTTTTTTTTGGGATGATTTGGGGGTTTTTTGGGGATGATTTTGGGTTTTTCTGGGGATGATTTTGGGGTTTTTTGGGGATGATTTAGGGGTTTTTTTTAATGACGATTTTGGGGTTTTTGGGGGGACGATTTTGGGGTTTTTTTGGGGAGGATTTTGGGCTTTTTGGGGGATGATTTTGGGTTTTTCTGGGGATGATTTTGGGGTTTTTTGGGGAGGATTTTGGAGTTTTTTTGGGGATGATTTTGGGTTTTTTTGGGGATGATTTTGGGGTTTTTTGGGGAGGATTTTGGGGTTTTATGGGGGATGATTTTGGGGTTTTTTTTGGGATGATTTTGGGGTTTTTTTGGGGAGGATTTTGGGATTTTTTAGGGGACGATTTTGGGGTTTATTTTGGGGTGTCCCCCCCCGTTTCCACAGCCTGGCCAAGGAGGATTTGCAGTTCCAGCCCCTGGAGGAGCTCGGGGACCCCCCGGGAGAGCCCCTGGACCCCCCCCCCGAGAGCAGCCCCGAGCCCCCCCCGGGCGATGGGGACCCCCAGGAGCGGTGGCTGCTGCACCCCAAGGCCGAGCTGGGGCTGTGAGGGGGGACCCCAAAACCGCGGCCGAGAAACACCCAAAAAATCTCAATAAACACCCAAAAAAAATGCCTCGAAAACACCCCAAAAAAATCTCAATAAACACCAAAAAAACCCCCTCAAAAACACCCCAAAAATCTCAATAAATACCCAAAAAAACCCCCTCAAAAACACCCAAAAGAATCTCAATAAACACCAAACAAATGCCTCGAAAACACCCCAAAAAATCTCAATAAACACCCCAAAAAATGCCTCAAAAACACCCCAAAAAAATCTCAATAAACACCCAAAAAATAGCTCAAAAACACCCCAAAACCACCCCAAACCCCACCTGGGAAATCCCACACCCAAAATCCCACACTCAGAATTCCCACCCACTGCTCTGTGCTCAACCCCAGCCCCAGATTTTTGGGGATTTTTTGGTTTTTTTTGGGGGGGGGGTTTATTGTTTTATTGTTCCGGGGTTTTTTTTGTTTGTTTGGTTTTTTTAAATTTTTTTATTTTTTGTTTTTTGGGTTTTTTTGGGGGAGGTTTTATTGATTTTTGGGGGTTTTTTTGAGTTTTTTTGGGGTTTTTTGAGGTTTTGTTGGAGGGAAGTTTTATTGATTTTTTGAGGGTGTTTTTTTTGAGTTTTGTTTGAGGGTTTTTGGGGGGAGGTTTTATTGATTTTTTGAGGGTTTTTGGGGTTTTTTGGGGGAAGGTTTTATTGATTTTTTTGGGTTTTTTTTTTAGTTTCTTTGGGGTTTTTTGAGTTTTTTTGCAGGGACGATTTATTGATTTTTAGGGTTTTTTTTTAGTTTTTTTGAGGGTTTTGGGGGGAAGTTTTATTGATTTTTGGGTGTGTTTTTTGAGTTTTTTTTTTTGAGGGTTTTTGGGGAGGTTTTATTGATTTTTTGAGTGTTTTTTGGGGGGAGGTTTTGTTGATTTCTGGGGGTTTTTTTGAGTTTTTTGGGGGGAGGTTTTATTGATTTTGGGGGGATTTTTTTTGAGTTTTTTTTAGTTTTTTTGGGGGGAGGTTTTATTGATTTTTTTAGGGTTTTTTTTTTTTTTGAGTGTTTTTGAGTTTTTTGGGGGGAGGTTTTATTGATTTTTGGGGTTTTTTTTGAGTTTTTTTGGGGGGAGGTTTTATTGATTTTGGGGGGTTTTTTTTGAGTTTTTTGGGTTTTTTGAGGGTTTTTTTTGGTGGAGGTTTTATTGATTTTTTAGGGGTGGTTTTTTTTTTTTTTTGGTGGAGGTTTTATTGATTTTTTGGGGGTTTTTTTTGGTTTTTATTTCTTTTTTTTTGGACAAACCCCCACAAAACACTCAACACACACCAAACCCTTTACCAAACCCAGCCCTTTTCACCCCAAACCCCGCGATTTCGCCTCCCCCTCCCCATCCCCGATGTCGGCCTCGCTCAGCACCACGGCGCGGAGCCTCTCCCGGTGCAGGCGCTCGTTCCGCTCGGAGCGGAGCTCTCCGGGCTCCATCCTCCGCAGCGCCTCCGGCAGCTTCCCGAACTCCTCCTCGTTGATGTCGCAGTCCCGCAGCGCCGCCTCCAGCAGCCACCAGCGCCCCAAAAACCCCAAATCCAGCAGGAACTCGCGGTCCCACGGCCGCGGCCGCAGGTGCGGGCAGCGCGCCCGGTACAGCGCGGGCTCGGAGCCGTGCGGGTCCGTACCGGCCACGGCCACGATGCCGAAGTTGCGGACGCGGATCCGGTGCCGCTCCCGCAGCCGCAGCAGCCGCTGCACGTGGCGCTCGGCCCGGGGGCTGCGGGAGCCCGGCGGGAGCTGCCCCAGGAGCGCCCCCGCCGCCACGGCCGCGCCCTCCAGGGAGCTCCGGTCCGGTACCGAGCGGGCCAGGCCGGTGGCGAGAGCCAGAGCGGCCAGGGAGGCGGCCGTGACACCGGGGCGGCGGCGGGCGGAGGAGGCGGCTTCGCGCAGCGACGAGGAGTAATCGCGGAGGAGGGCGCGGAGCCACAGAGCTGCGGGGATAACGGGGATAACGGGGATAACGGGGATAACGGGGGTTAACGGGGATAACGGGGATAACGGGGGTTAACGGGGATTAACGGGGAATAGAGAGAGAGCGCGGAGCCACAGAGCTGCGGGATATAACGGGGATAACGGGGATAACGGGGGTTAACGGGAGAGAGCGCGGAGCCACAGAGCTGCGGGATAACGGGGAATTAACGGGGTTAACGGGGGTTAACGGGAGAGAGCGCGGAGCCACAGAGCTGCGGGATAACGGGGATAACGGGGATAACGGGGATAACGGGGATTAACGGGGAATAGAGAGAGAGCGCGGAGCCACAGAGCTGCGGGGGAACGGGGAATTAACGGGGGTTAACGGGGATAACGGGGATAACGGGGGTTAACGGGGATAACGGGGAATAGAGAGAGAGCGCGGAGCCACAGAGCTGCGGGATATAACGGGGATAACGGGGGTTAACGGGGATTAACGGGGGTTAACGGGGGTTAACGGGGGTTAACGGGGATAACGGGGATAACGGGGGTTAACGGGGATTAACGGGGAATAGAGAGAGAGCGCGGAGCCACAGAGCTGCGGGTTAACGGGGATAACGGGGAACCGGGAATCGGGGGAGAGCGCGGAGCCACAGAGCTGCGGGATAACGGGGAATTAACGGGGATAACGGGGATAACGGGGATAACGGAGGTTAACGGGGAATAGAGAGAGAGCGCGGAGCCACAGAGCTGCGGGATTAACGGGGATAACGGGGATAACGGGGGTTAACGGGGAACGGGAGAGAGAGTGGAGCCACAGAGCTGCGGGATAACGGGGGTTAACGGGGAATTAACGGGGGAACGAACCGGGGAGTTACCGGGGAACCGGGGATCAGAGAGCGCGGAGCCACAGAGCTGCAGGGGAACGGGGAATTAACGGGGGTTAACGGGAACGGGAACGGGACAGAGCGCGGAGCCACAGAGCTGCGGGATAACGGGAACTGGGAACGGGAACCGGGGGATTACCGGGGGAACGGGAACCGGGGAAACCGGGGGGAACGAGGAGCCGGGAAGAACGGGGAACGGGGATCGGGAGGGAACCGGGGGGGAACGGGGGTTATGGGGTGAACGGGGGCTCAGGAGGGAACCGGGGGCGCCACCGGGAGCTCAGAGGGGGTCACGGGGGGTCACGGGGGGTCAGGAGGGGTCACGGGGGGTCAGAGGGCTCGGGGGGGGTTCGGGGGTCAAAGGGGTCAGGGGTGCTCAGGGGGGTCACAGCGAAGTCGGGGCCAGGGGGGACAATGGGAGGGGTTGGGGACCCCCCGAGACCCCCCCTGGGTTACGGGAACCCCCCCCAGCCCCTCCCGGGAGCCCGAATCGCCCCTCCCGCCCCCACCGGAACCCCCCCGGCACCGGCCCCGCAAGGGTCCGGCCCCCCCATCAAATTCCCGTCACCCTGAGAGCCTCCGGGCGCCCCTCACCGAGCCGGGTGTCCCCCAGGCGCCCCCAGAGCCCGCGGCTCGCCCCGCCCGCCGCCGCCGCCGCCGCCATCACCGGAGAGGCTCCGCGCCGCCCGGAACCAAAGCGCCGGGGCCGCGGGGCGGGCGGGACTCGGAGGCGGTGACACACGGGGCGGGCGAAACCATCGCGGGGCGAGCGGAGGGGGGGTGGGCGGAACCAATGAGGGGAGAGGGGCGGGGCTGCGCACGCGCGGAGCGGCCCCGCCCGGTTCAAACAGCGCGCGGGAGGGAGCGCCAGGAGAAAGCGAAAAGAATGGTTAAAAAATGGGGGAAAAATTGGAAAAAACGGGAAAATACCGGGGAAAAACGGGCGGAGAGGGAGGGGAGCTGGCCCTGGGGATGGAGGGGGGGGGTAACGCGGTCCCGGCGGGTCGGGGGGGGGGTTCGGATCCCCTCAGGCCTCGGTGCCCCTTTTGCGCTGCATCCCCCGTTTTCTCCCCGTCCCTGACATTTCTCCATCCCTGATATCTCTCCATCCCCATTTTCTCCCCGTCCTCGTTATCTCCCCATCCCCGCTTGTTTTTCCCCCGTTCCTGTCCCCGTTATCCCCCCGTTTCCCCTCGTTCCTGTCCCATTCCCGTCCCCGTTTCCCCCCGTTTCCCCCCGTTCCCGTTGCCGTGTCCCAGGATCCCGGTGGTTTTCCCCCGGTGGAGGAGGTGGAGGAGCTGAGCCAGGAGCTGCTGCGGGAGCTGAGCTCGGGCTGCACCGAGGAGCTGCTGCGGCGGGGGCTGCACCGGCGGGAGCGGCTGCACCGGCGGCTCCGGGAGGCGCAGGGCAAGGCCCGGGAGCTGGCACAGGGTGGGTGGCACAAAACAGCCCAAACAGCCCTAAATACCCCCAAAACAGCCCCCACTGACACCCCAAAACAGCCCTAAATACCCCCAAAACAGCCCTGAAACACCCAAAACAAACAGCCCTAAATACCCCCAAAATAGCCCCCACTGACACCCCAAAACAGCCCTGAAACACCCCAAAGCAAACAGCCCAAAACAGCCCTGAAACACCCCAAAACAAACAGCCCAAAACAGCCCTAAATACCCCAAAACAAACAGCCCAAAACAGCCCTAAACACCCCAAACAAACAGCCCAAAACAGCCCTAAACACCCCCAAAACAGCCCTCACTGACACCCCAAAACAGCCCTGAAACACCCAAAACAAACACCCCAAAACAGCCCTGAAATACCCCAAAACAAACAGCCCTAAATACCCCCAAAACAAACCCCCCAAACAGCCCTAAATACCCCCAAAACAAACACCCCAAAACAGCCCTAAACACCCCAAAACAAACAGCCCAAAACAGCCCTAAACACCCCAAAACAAACAGCCCAAAACAGCCCTAAATACCCCCAAAACAGCCCTCACTGACACCCCAAAACAGCCCTGAAACACCCCCAAAACAAACACCCTAAAACAGCCCTGAAACACCCCAAAGCAAACAGCCCTAAACACCCCCAAAACAGCCCTCACTGACACCCCAAAACAGCCCTGAAACACCCCAAAGCAAACAGCCCAAAACAGCCCTGAAACACCCCAAAACAAACAGCCCAAAACAGCCCTAAATACCCCCAAAACAGCCCCCACTGACACCCCAAAACAGCCCTGAAACACCCCAAAACAAACAGCCCAAAACAGCCCTAAATACCCCAAAACAAACAGCCCAAAACAACCCTAAACACCCCAAAACAAATACCCCAAAACAGCCCTAAACACCCCAAAACAGCCCTAAACACCCCAAAACAAACCCCCCAAAACCCTCCCTGACACGCGGGGCTGGGCCCAGGAGCTGCCCCAGGGTCAGTGACTCAAAACGTCCCTAAATACCCCAAAAACCACCCAAAACAAACCCCCTAAAATACCCCAAAACAGCCCCCACCGACCACGAGCCCCCCTGTATTGCCCCCCAAACACCCCCCAGTGCCCCCCAGTGCCCCCCATTTCCCCGTTTTGCCCCCCAGGTCTGGCCGAGGCCGAGGCCGGGCTCTGCCATCGCCTCCGGGGCGCTCAGGCCCACGTCCAGCGGCTCCGCGGCCGGAGGCAGGAGCTGGACACGGAGCTGGAGCGGGCCCAGGGCAGCCTGAGCGGTGCCAGGGACAAAACCCAATATCCTGGGGCTCTGGGGATGGAACTTAGGGGGATTTTGGGATTTTTGGGGTTTTTTTGGGGTTTTTTGGGGGTTTTTTTGGGTGTGTTTTTGCCTTGACTTCCCCACTGCGCCGGTCCCAGGGCAGCCTGAGCGGTGCCAGGGACAAAACCCAGTGTCCTGGGGCTCTGGGGGTGGGATTTGGGTTTTTTTTTGGGGTGGGTTTTGGGTTTTTTGGGGTGGATTTTGGGGGGTTTTTCGGGTGGATTTTGGGGGGGGTTTCGGGTGGATTTTGGGGTTTTTTTGGGTGGATTTTGGGGGTTTTTTTGGGTGGATTTCGGGGGTATTTTTGGGTGGATTTTGGGGGGTTTTTTTGGGTGGATTTTGGGGGTATTTTTGGGTGGATTTTGGGTTTTTTTGGGTGGATTTTGGGGGGTATTTTTGGGTGGACTTTGGGGTTTTTTTTGGGTGGATTTTGGGGGGTTTTTTGGGTGGATTTTGGGGTTTTTTTGGGTGGATTTTGGGGTTTTTTGGGTGGATTTTGGGGTTTTTTTGGGGGGTATTTTTAGGTGGATTTTGGGGTTTTTTTGGGTGTGTGTTTGCCTTGACCCCCCCTCCCCACGGCGCTGCGCCGGGCCCTGGAGGAGCTGCAGGAGCAGCTGCAGCAGCTGGAGCAGCACCAGGAGGAGGAGGAGGAGGAGCACAGCCTTCCTCCCGACGTGTGAGTGAGCACAGCCACCCCCAGACCCACCGAAGCACCCCCAAACCCCCCCTTGAACCCCTCAATCCCCCCCAGGTACGTGGCCCAGCTGTACTACGAGATCAGCAGGATCGACTGGGACTGCAGCGCCCAGCCCGGCCACATCCGAGGGGGTGAGTGACCCCAAAACCCCCCCCCCCCCACCCAAAAACACCCCTGGGACCACCCCCTGACCCCCTCCCCACCGGGTTTTGCCCCCTCCCCAGTTCACTACGGCCCCGACATCGCCGTGCCCCTGGACCTGGATGGGGCCCAGCACTCGGGGACCTTCGTCAGCGATTTCCTCTGGGGGCTGGTGCCCACCGAGTGGAGACCCCGGAGAGCCCCGGTGCTGCCCCGGGAGCCGCTGGCACCGTGACCCCCCCACCCCCTTACCCACAGCGTGAGACCCCTCCCCATTAAACCACCACCAATCTCTTTAATTACCCCTGTGTTGGGGAATCAGCAAAACCCCCAAACTTCACCTTGAGGACGGGGAGGGAAAAGTCCTGTGACCTTTATTTTTTGGGGGGGGGGGTCTTGGTGCCCCCCCCATGCCGCCGGTGGGGGGATGGGTTTGGGAGGGGTTTTTTTGGGGGAAAATTCCAGAATTTTGGCTGCATCCAGAGCCGCCCCCCCCCCACCCTACCCCAGCCCCCCCCGGCGGCGCCGGGGTCAGCAGGGCCCGGCCGGGGGGGGCTCCTCGTCCTCGGGGGGGGGCTCCTGGGCGTGGCAGGGCTCCATGGTGACGGCCACGCCCAGCCCGCTGCGCCCCGACGGCATCGGCGGCGTCACCGCGGTCCAGGCGTCGCCCGCGGGGTCGTAGCACTCCATGGAGTCCAGGAAGGAGTGGCCGTCGTAGCCCCCTGCCCGGGGATCAGGGGTGAGCCGGGACCTCCCCCCAAAACACACCCAAAATACCCCCAGATATAGCCCAGAAACCTCCCCAAAAAAACCCCAAGAAATACCCCAAAACCCCCTAGAAACCGCCCCAGAAACCCCTCCAGAAACACCTCAAAACACCCCAGAAATACCCCAGAAAGCCCCCAAGAAACACCCCAAAATACCCCCAAAAATACCCCAGAAACCCCCCCAAAATACCCCCCAAAATACCCCAGGAATCCCCCAAAAATACCCCAGAAAGCCCCCAAGAAACACCCCAAAATACCCCCAGAAATACCCCAGGAAACACCACAAAATATCCCAAAGCCCCTTCAGAAAGGCCCCCAGAAATCGCCCCAGAAACCTCCCCAAAAAACCCCAGAAACTGCCCCAGAAACCGGCCCAGAAACCCCTCCAGAAACACCTCAAAACGCCCCAGAAACCCCCCCAAAACACCCCAGAAACCTCCCCAAAATACTCTCAGAAACCGCCCCAGAAACCCCCCAGAAACACCTCAAAACGCCCCAGAAACTCACCCAGAAACCCCTCAGAAACCCCCCCAAAACACCCCAGAAACCTCCCCAAAATACCCCAGAAAGCGCCCAAGAAACACCCCAAAATACCCCCAGAAACCCCCCCAAAAAAAACCCAAGAAACACCCCAGAAACACCCCAAAACCCCCTCAGAAACCGCCCCAGAAACCCCTCCAGAAACACCTCAAAAACACCCCAGAAACTCCCCCAGAAACCTCCCCAAAATACCCCAGAAAGCCCCCAAGAAAACCCCAAGAAACACCCCAGAAACCTCCCCAAAAAAACCCCAAGAAACACCCCAAAACCCCCTAGAAACCGCCCCAGAAACCCCTCCAGAAACACCTCAAAACACCCCAGAAACCCCCTGAAAATACCCCAGAAAGCCCCCAGGAAACACCCCAAAACACCCCCAAAAATACCCCAGAAACACCTCAAATCCCCCCCAGAAACCGCCCCAGAAACTCCCCCAGAAACCCCCACAAAACACCCCAGAAATCTCCCCAGAAACCTGGCAGGATCCCCAAACAGACCCCAAATCCCATCCCAGAGCCACAAAGAGCCCCCAGAGCCCCCCAAAACCCCCTCAAATGCCCCCAGGTACCCAGGACGTAGATCCTGCCCCTGAAGGCCGTCACCCCCAGACCCCAAACAAACCCCAAATCCCATCCCAGGCCCCAAACAGACCCCAGAGCCCCCCAAAAGCCCCCTGGGGTACCCAGGACGTAGATCCTGCCCCTGAAGGCCGTCACCCCCAGACCCCAAATCCCATCCCAGAGCCCCAAACAGACCCAAATCCCATCCCAGAGCCCCCCAAAAGCCCCCCAGGTACCCAGGACGTAGATCCTGCCCCTGAAGGCCGTCACCCCCAGACCCCAAATCCTAACCCAGAACCCCAAACAGACCCCAGAGCCCCCCAAAATCCCCCTGAGGTACCCAGGACGTAGATCCTGCCCCTGAAGGCCGTCACCCCCAGACCCCAAACAGACCCCAGAGCCCCCCAAAACCCCCCTCAAACCCCCCAAAATCCCCCATAGGTACCCAGGACGTAGATCCTGCCCCTGAAGGCCGTCACCCCCAGGGCGCTCCGCCGGTGCCCCATGGGTGCCACGAAGCTCCAGGTCTCGGTGTCGGCCTGGAAGCGCTCGGTGCTGCTGAGCTGCTGGGTGCCATCGTAGCCCCCCATGGCGTACAGGCAGTTCCCGAGGGCGCACACCCCTGGGGGAGCCCCAGAATCGGAATCGGCACCCCCAGAAACCCCCAGAGACCCCCAGAAACCCCCAGAGACCCCCATAGACCCCCAGAAACTCACCGAGAAAAACGACCCAAAAATGACCCAAAAACAGCCCAAAAACGACACAAAAATGACCCCAAACCAACCCAAACTATCCCCCCGTGGTGTACAGGCAGTTCCCGAGGGCGCACACCCCTGGGGGAGCCCCAGAATCGGAATCGGCACCCCCAGAAACCCCCAGAGACCCCCAAGATACCCACAGAGACCCCCAGAGACCCCAGAAACTCACCGAGAAAAACGACCCAAAAATGACCCAAAAACAGCCCAAAAACGACACAAAAATGACCCCAAACCAACCCAAACTATCCCCCCCTGGCGTACAGGCAGTTCCTGAGGGCACACAGCCCTGGGGGAGCCCCAGAATTGGATTCAGCACCCCCAGAAACCCCCTCTGGGACCCCTCCAGGACCCCCCAAATCCCACCCAAACTCCTCTGAGCTCCCTCCAGGATCCCCCAAACCCCTCTGGGACCCCCAAAATCCCACCCAAACCCCTCTGGGACCCCTGAAATCCCACCTAAACCCCTCCAGGACCCCCCAAACCCCTCCAGGACCCCTCCAGGACCCCTCCCCAGCCCCACCTGCGCCGCTGCCCACGGTGGCCATGGGCGGGATTGGCTGCCATTGGGGTGGGATCAGCCCCCATAAACCCCTCCAGGACCCCCCAAATCCCCCCCAAATCCCCCCCAGACACCTCCAAGACCCCCCAAACCCCCCTGGGCCCCCTCCCCAGCCCCACCTGCGCCGCTGCGGACGGTGGCCATGGGCGGGATCGGCTGCCATTGGTCCCTCTCGGGGTGGGATCAGCCCCACCAAACCCCTCCAGGACCCCCCAAAACCCCCCCAAATCCCACCCAAACCCCTCCAGGACCCCCCAAACCCCCCCAAATCCCCCCCAAACCCCTGCCCAGCCCCACCTGCGCCGCTGCGGACGGTGGCCATGGGCGGGATCGGCTGCCATTGGTCCCTCTCGGGGTGGTAGCGCTCGGCCGAGCTCAGGCGGGCGCTGCCATCGAAGCCGCCCACGGCGTAGAGCAGGCGGTGCAGCACGGCCACCCCCACCCCGATGCGCCGCGTGCCCATGGGCGCCACCTGCGCCCACTCGTCCCGCTCGGGCTCGTACCTGGGGGGGCACGGCGGGGTCAGAGCCGGGGAGACGCCCAGAGGGGCGCAGGCCCCACAAACCCCACGGTGAGACCCCCAGAGGGGCGCAGGCCCCACGGTGGGACCCCAAAGGGGCATAAACCCCACTGTGAGACCCCCAGAGGGGCGCAGACACCACGGTGAGACCCCCCCAGATCCCACAAACACCACAGTGAGACCCCCAGAGGGGCATAAATCCCACGGTGAGACCCCCAAAGGGACACAAACACCATGGTGAGACCCCCTGGGACCCCCACAAACCCCACGGTGAGACCCCCAAAGGGGCATAAATTACACTGTGAGACCCCCAGAGGGGCGCAGGCCCCATGGTGGGACCCCAAAGGGGCACAGACCCCACTGTGAGACCCCCAGAGGGGGATAAACCCCACTGTGAGATCCCCAAAGGGGCATAAACCCCCACTGTGAGACCCCCCAGATCCCACAAACCCCACTGTGAGACCCCCAGAGGGGCATAAATCCCACGGTGAGACCCCCCAAAGGGACACAAACACCATGGTGAGACCCCCTGGGACCCCCACAAACCCCACTATGAGACTCCCAAAGGGGCATAAATCACACTATGAGATCCCCAAAGGGGCATAAACCCCACAGTGAGACCCCCTGGGACCCCACAAACCCCACGGTGAGACCCCCAGAAGGGCACAGACCCCACGGTGAGACCCCCCCCAGCCCCATTTTCACCCCCCCAGCCCCATTTCCCCCCATTCCCCCCATCCCCATTTCCCCCAGCCCCATTTCCCTCCCATCCCCATTTCCCCAATCCCATTTTCACCCCCCCAGCCCCATTTCCCCCATCCCCCAGCCCCATTCCTCACCTCTCCACGGAGCAGTGGTGGCTGCACCCGTGGGACCCCAGCCCCATTTCCCCCATTCCTCACCTCTCCACGGAGCAGTGATGGGTGCACCCATGGGACCCCAGCCCCATTTCCCCATCCCCATTTCCCCCATTCCTCACCTCTCCACGGAGCAGTGGTGCGTGCACCCATGGGACCCTCCCACGGCGTAGATGAGCCCGTCGATGACGCCCAGCCCGATGCGGTTCCTGGGCACGCTCATGGCGGCGCAGGGCGCCCAGCGCCCGCTCACGGGGTTGTAGCACTCCACGGCCGCCGAGTCCGTGTTCCCCTCGGCCGAGTTGTTCCTCCCGCCCACGGCGTAGAAAATCCCCCCGACCACGCACCCGCCCAGCCCCGAGCGCGGCGTCCCCATCTCCGCCAGCCTCAGCCACGCTCCCCCGCTCGGGATCGAACGCCTCCAGCGTGCTCAGCGACCTCCTCAGGTACCCCCCGGCTGCATAGATGAGCTGCCTGACCCTGGGCGTCCTGCACGGGGGGTGCCCCGGCGTGGGCCGGTGCAGCGCCAGCTCGCGGAACACCCGCGCCAGGTAGCGCAGGGCGTCGCGGCCCAGGTCGCGGCGGAGCTGGGCGCGCAGGAAGCGCGGGGGTGAGCGCGTGGCAGCGCACGGCGCGCAGCAGCGCCGGCAGGAAGGGCGCCCGCGCCGCCCCGGTTCCTGCTGCACCCACGCCACGCACGCCTGGAACACCTCGGACTCGCAGCGCACGTTGAGCTCGTCCCGGCTGAGCAGCGCGGCCAGCTGGCAGTGGGAGAGGGAGAGGAACTCCTCCTGCTTCGAGACCTGTGGGGAAAACGGGGAGCAAAATTACAAAATTGGCAAAAATCAGATCAAAAAATGACATGCTGGCAGTGGGACAGGGACAGGAACTCCTCCTGCTTCGAGACCTGGGGGGAAAATGGGAAAATTGGTAAAAATCAGATCAAAAACAGTCCCTAAATGATATCCTGGCAGTGGGAGAGGGATAGGAACTCCTCCTGCTTCGAGACCTGGGGGGAAAAGCAGAGAGAATGGCAAAATTGGCAAAAATCAGCTCAAAAAATGACATGCTGGCAGTGGGAGAGGGACAGGAACTCCTCCTGCTTCGAGACCTGGGGAGAAAATGGGACAAAAATCACAAAATTGGCAAAAATCAGATCAAAAAATGACATGCTGGCAGTGGGAGAGGGAGAGGAACTCCTCCTGTTTCGAGACCTGCGGGGAAATGGGACAAAAATTACAAAATTGGCAAAAATCAGATCAAAAAATGACCTGCTGGCAGTGGGAGAGGGACAGGAACTCCTCCTGCTTCGAGACCTGGGGGGAAAACGGGGAGAAAATGGCAAAATTAGGAAAAATCAACACCAAAAATGACATGCTGGCAGTGGGAGAGGGATAGGAACTCCTCCTGCTTCGAGACCTGGGGGGAAATGGGGAAATTAGGAAAAATTAACCCCAAAATTGGTAAAAATTAACCCCAAAATGACATGCTGGCAGTGGGATAGTGACAGGAACTCCTCCTGCTTGAAGACCATTCCTGACAGGACCTCCCAAACCCCCCTGAAACCCCCAGACCCCCCCATACCTCAGCGAAGTTCATGTAGATGTACTCCCGTGCCCTCTGCAGCAGCTCCTGGCAGCCCAGGGTCCCTCTGTGGTGTCCCCCCATCCCTGACAGGACCCCCAATCCCCCCCAAACCCCTCCAATCCCCCCCAAATCCCTTCAGGCCCCCCCCTACCTCAGCGAAGTTCATGTAGATGTACTCGCGGGCCCTCTGCAGCAGCTCCTGGCAGCCCAGGCGCTCACTGGGGTCTGTTCACCATGGCCCCCCATCCCTGACAGGACCCCCAAACCCCTCCAGGACCCCCCAAACCCCTCCAATCCCCCCATACCTCAGCGAAGTTCATGTAGATGTACTCGCGGGCCCTCTGCAGCAGCTCCTGGCAGCCCAGGCGCTCGGCCAGCGCGGCGATGCCGATGGCGTTGCTGGGGTGCAGCTGCCGGCCCAGGAAGGCGCAGCAGGCGCCCACCACGGGCTCCACCTGGTACATGAGGGCGCCGTGCAGCAGCGGCAGCACGCAGCGCTCGCCCACGGCCACGGCCGCCGTGTAGGCGAACTCCACCAGCCCCTCCATGGCTCCGGGCTGCACGCCCTCGATGGGCACCTCGGCCAGGCCCCCGCTCGCGCAGCCCCCGCCGTGAACATGGCCCGGAACACGGGGCTGGCGGCCGCCAGCACCACGCGGTGCGCCCGCAGCTCGGTGGGCGGCAGGTCCCGGCGGTGCCGCACGCGCAGGGTGACATCGCAGAGCTGCCCCTGCAGCCGCAGCTCGTTCATGGCCGCCAGCGCCGCCGCCGGGTGCTCGGAGAGCGTGAAGCGGCTCCGCGAGAGCGAGGAGGGGCCCGGCGACGGCGTCACCTCGGCCGGGAGCTCCGGGGCAGGCGGGGACGGGCAGGACATGGCGGAGGGAGGCGGCTGGAGAGAGGGCCCGGGGCGATGGAGGGGCTGCGGAGGGAGAAAAACGGGGTTAGAGAGGGGAAACTGAGGCACGGAGTGAGATAGGACTGGCTGGGAATGGGATTTGGGGAGAAAAACGGGGTTAGAGTGGGGAAACTGAGGCACGGAGTGAGATAGGACAGGCTGGGAATGGGTTATGGGGTGATGGAGGGGCTGCGGAGGGGGAGAAACGGGGTTAGAGAGGGGAAACTGAGGCACGGAGGGGGACAGGACTGACTGGGAATGGGTTATGGAGAGAAAAACGGGGTTAGAGTGGGGAAACTGAGGCACGGAGTGAGAGAGGACAGGCTGGAGAGAGGGCCCGGGGCGATGGAGGGGCTGCGGAGGGGGAGAAACGGTGGTTAGAGAGGGGAAACTGAGGCACGGAGGGGGACAGGAGTGGCTGGAATGGGTTATGGGGTGATGGAGGGGCTGTGGAGGGAGAAAAACGGGGTTAGAGTGGGGAAACTGAGGCACGGAGTGACATAGGACTGACTGGGAATGGGATTTGGGGAGAAAAACGGGGTTAGAGTGGGGAAACTGAGGCACAGAGTGGGACAGGACTGACTGGAGAGAGGGCCCGGGGTGATGGAGAGGCTGTGGAGGGGGAAAAAATGCGATCAGAGGAGGGAAACTGAGGCACAGAGTGGGACAGGACTGACTGGAGAGAGGGCCCGGGGCGATGGAGGGGCTGCGGAGGGAGAGAAACGGGGTTAGAGAAGGGAAACTGAGGCACGGAGGGGGACAGGAGTGGCTAGAATGGGTTATGGGGTGATGGAGGGGCTGTGGAGGGAGAAAAACGGGGTTAGAGTGGGGAAACTGAGGCACGGAGTGAGATAGGACTGACTGGGAATGGGTTATGGAGAGAAAAAACGGGGTTAGAGTGGGGAAACTGAGGCACGGAGTGAGATAGGACTGGCTGGAGAGAGGGCCCGGGGCGATGGAGGGGCTGCGGAGGGGGAGAAACGGGGTTAGAGAGGGGAAACTGAGGCACGGAGTGAGCGAGGATTCCCTGGAATGGGTGATGGGGTGATGGAGGGGCTGCGGAGGGGGAAAAATGCAATTAGAGGAGGAAACTGAGGCACGGAGAGGGAGAGGACAGGCTGGGAATGGGTTATGGGGAGAAAAACGGGGTTAGAGTGGGGAAACTGAGGCACGGAGGGTGGGGAGTGGGACAGGATCTCCCTGGAATGGGTTCTGGGGTGATGGAGGGGCTGCGGAGGGGGAAAAACGGGGTTAGAGTGGGGGAAATTGAGGCACAGAGTGAGACAGGATGGGCTGGGAATGGGATTTGGAGAGAAAAACGGGGTCAGAGTGGGGAAACTGAGGCACGGAGTGAGACAGGACTCCCTGGAATGGGTTATGGGGTGATGGAGGGGCTGTGGAGGGAGAAAAACGGGGTTAGAACAGGGGAAACTGAGGCACGGAGGGCAGGGAGTGGGACACCCCCCCCCCCCCCTCACACCACAGGGACATTTTTGGGTTGATTTTGGAGGATTTGGGGGTCTCGGGGGCTATCGGGGCATCCCGGGGTGGATTTTGGGGTGCCCCGGGCAGCATTTTGGGGCTGTTTTGGGGTTATTTCGGCGCTATTTGGGTCTATTTTAGGGTTATTCCGGGTCCGTTTTGGGGCTGTTTCGGGGTTATTTTTGGGGTTATTCCGGGTCTGTTTTGGGGCTGTTTTGGCGTTATTTTTGGGCTATTTTGGGGGCCAATTTCGGGGCCATTCTAGGGCTATTACGGGACTATTTTTGGGCTATTTTGGGGCTGTTTTGGGGGTATTTTGGGGCTGTTTTGGGGTTATTTCGGCGCTATTTGGGTCTATTTTAGGGTTATTCCGGGTCTGTTTTTGGGGCTGTTTTGGGGTTATTTTTGGGGTTATTTTGGGGCTATTTTGGGGGGCAATTTCGGGGCCATTCTAAGGCTATTACGAGACTATTTTGGGCTATTTTTGGGCTATTTTGGGGTTATTCCAGCGCAGTTTTGGGGCTGTTTCGGGGCTGTCTCACGGCCCGTGCAGCGCCCCCCGCTACCGGAGCTGTCCCGCCGCTATTTAGGGGGGTCCCGGGCTGTGCTCTGGGCGATTTTCGGGGTCGCACCGGCCCGTGCGGATCCCGGGGGGTTTTGTGGGGGGCTCGGTCGTTCGGGGGGTGTCCCCAGGGCCATTTCGGGGCCATTTCGGGGCTATTTCGGGGGCATTTCGGGGGTCTCGGTTCCGTGCCGGTACCGGCGCGTCCCGGGGGATATTTTGGGGCGTCCCGGGGGGGTTTTGGGGAGATTTCGGGGGTCTCACCGGTTGACGCCGCGGCCCCGGGGCCGGGGGGGCGGGGGGGGGGGGCCGTGACTAAGCAGCGCGCGGAGCCCCCGCCGCGATAAGAGCCCGGACACGCCCCGTGACGTCACGGACCACGCCCCTCGCCGCAATAAAAGTCCCCTGGGGCCGGGGCCGGTACCGGGAGGGTCCCCGTGACCCCCCCGTGACCCCGCGGTGACCTCGGGACCCCTCCCCAGTCACCCTGGGGGGGGCCCTGTGGCTCCCGCGTGACCCCAAAACGCCCCCGAGACCCCCCCGGGGCCGCCCCGCGACCCCAAAATGGCCCCGGGAGCTCCCGGTGTCCCCCGGGGGAGCCCCAAAGTCCCAAAATGACCCCAAAACGTCCCCGGAGCCCCCCCCCCGGCCCCGGGGTCCCGGAACAGGCCACGCCCACTCACAACGCCCACGCCCACGCGTGGATGATTTGCATATCCCCGCCCACTCCTCGTAACCCCGCCCCCTTCCCGCCTTCTCGTGCGGGCCCCCGCCCCCTCTGGGGCCCCGCCCCCCCGCGCGCCGCCGCCGCCATGAGCGGGGGGGGGGAGGGACCGGGGCCCCCCCCGGCACCGGGGACCGGGACCGGGACCCCCCCCCGGGACCGAGCGGGGCGGGCAGCGCGTGCGGGGCCGCGTCCTCGCGGCCTGGAAACAGCGTCAAATACGGTGGGGACCGGGAACACCGGGAACAGCGGGGGAACGGGAACACCGGGAACAGCGGAAACAGCGGGAACAACGGGAACACCGGAGAGGGACACCGGGAACACCGGGAACACCGGGAACAGCGGGAACACCGGGAACAGCGGGAACAGCGGGGGAACGGGAACACCGGGAACAGCGGGGGACCGGGAACACCGGGAACACCGGGATACCGGGGGAACGGGAACACCGGGAACAACGGGGGAGTGGCACCGGGACACCGGGAATGGGAAGGGATACCTGGAACGGGACACCGGGGCACCGGGAACGGGATACCGGGAGACGGACACCGGGGGATTCGGGGTCCCGGGATTCGGGGTCCCGGCGTTCGGTGCTCCCGGCGTTCGGTGTCCCGGTGTCCCCGGTGACCCCCGTTTCCCCCCAGGCTGGACGCTGCGGCCGCGGCCCCACTTCAGCCCGCGGGACCCCGTGTACCTGCTGGGGAGGGTCTACGCACCGGGAAACGGGGGTGAGCGGGACCCCGGGGGGCTCGGGGCTGTCCCGGGGGTCTCAGGGCGGTCCCGGGGGTCTCGCACGGTCTCTCTCCGCCCTCCCCAGAGGATCTGGCCCGGTTCCGGCGGGATTTCTGCTCCCGGTTGTGGCTGACGTACCGGAGCGGGTTCCCGGCGCTGCCCGGGACCCCCCGCACCACCGACTGCGGCTGGGGGCTGCACCCTGCGCAGCGCGCAGATGCTGCTGGGCCAGGGGCTGCTGCTGCACCTGCTGGGCCGCGGTAAGAGACCCCCGGGAATGGGGAGAGACCCCCGGGAATGGGGAGAGACCCCCGGGAATGGGGAGAGACCCCCGGGATTGCCCTGAGACCCCCGGGAATGGGGAGAGACCCCCGGGAATGGGGAGAGACCCCCGGGATTGCCCTGAGACCCCCGGGAATGGGGAGAGACCCCCAGGATTGTGGGGAGAGACCCCCGGGGCTGGGGAGAGACCCCCCGGGGATGGGGAGAGACCCCCGGGGCCGGGGAGAGACCCCCGGGGATGGGGAGAGACCCCCGGGAATGGGGAGAGACCCCCGGGGCTGCCCTGAGACCCCCGGGACTGCCCTGAGACCCCGGGATTGCCCTGAGACCCCCGGGGCTGCCCTGAGACCCCCGGGGCTGCCCTGAGACCCCCGGGGCTGCCCTGAGACCCCCGGGAATGGGGAGAGACCCCCGGGATTGCCCTGAGATCCCCGGGGCTGCCCTGAGACCCCCGGGAATGGGGAGAGACCCCCGGGATTGCCCTGAGACCCCCCGGGGCTGCCCTGAGACCCCCGGGGCTGCCCTGAGACCCCCGGCATTGCGGGCAGACCCCCGGACCCCTCCCCGAGCCCCCCGCCCCTCAATTCCAGACTGGATGTGGCCGGAGGCGCTGCTGGAACCGGAACCGGGGGGGCCCCGCAGGACCCGCGAGGCCCCGGGCCGGGCGCGGCCCCCCCGGGATGGACCGAGGGCGCCCCGGGATGGACACGGGACCCCCAGGCTGGACCCTGAGACCTCCGGGAGGACGCGGGACCACCTGGGACGGACCCAGGAGCCCCCGGCACCGACGCGAGCCCCGCGGAACGGGCAGGGCCCGCCCAGGATGGACACGGAGCGCCCCAGGGGGACGCGGGACCCCCCGGGCCAGCCCCGGGAGCCCCGGGAGGCGGAGCGGCGGCACCGCGCCATCGTCTCCTGGCTCTCCGACCACCCCCGGGCCCCGTTCGGGATCCACCGGCTCGTGGAGCTGGGCCGGGAGTTCGGCAAAAGCGCCGGGGACTGGTTCGGCCCCGCCATCGCCGCCCACCTGCTCCGGTGAGCGGGGCCGGGGGGGCTCGGGGGGGACCCCCGTGGGGTTCGGGGGGGACCCCGGGAACCCCCCCGGACCCACCGATCCCGTCCCGCTCAGGGGCGCCGTGGAGTCCTGCACCGAGACCCCCGGGCTCGCCGTGTACGTGGCCCAGGATTGCACCGGTACGGGGGGAACCGGGGCGCGTCCGGTTTGGGGGGGTCGGGGGCGTGGCCAGGGGGGGTTTGGGGGGTCGGGGATGAGCAGCCCCCTCCCCTTTTCTGCAGTTTACAAAGGGGACGTGGCCAGGTTGGTGCGGGGCGAGCCTGACGGGGGCACAGCGGGAGCTCCGGGAGCACCGGGATTGGGAACACCGGGAGCTCCGGGACACGGGACACCGGGAGCAGCGGGAGCTCCGAGGATGCCGGGATTGGGAACACCGGGAGCTCCGGGTCTGGGAACACCGGAACCGGGAGCACCGGGACACGGGACACCGGGAGCACCGGGAGCACCGGAGGCGGGGCAGCCCCGCGGGCTCATCCTGCTGGTGCCGGCGCGATTGGGGGGCGAGAACCTGAACCCCGTGTACGTGGAGTGCGTCAAGGTGGGTCTGGGGGCGCTCCCGGTGCCGTTCCCGTTCCCGTTCCCGTTCCCGGTGCCGTTCCCGGTGCGGTTCCCGTTCCCGTTCCCGTTCCCGGTGCGGTTCCCGTTCCCGTTCCCGGTGCCACCGCGTGTCCCCCCCGCCCTCCAGGCGCTGCTGCAGCTCCGCTCCTGCCTCGGCATCATCGGCGGCAAACCCCGGCACTCGCTCTTCTTCCTCGGCTTCCAAGGTACCGACCCGGCGGGAGGGGGGGCCCGGGGGGGTCCCCGCGGTTTCCGGGGGTCCCCGAGCCCTCCGTGCCCCCCCCCTCGCCTCTCCCCAGGTGATTCCCTGCTCTACCTGGACCCGCACCTCTGCCAGCCCTGCGTGGACACGGCCCGCGAGAATTTCCCTCTGCAGGTGGGTGCGCCCCAAAATCGGCCTCTGGGGGCTCTGGGGGTGACGCGACCCCCCCCCCCAAAAAAACCTTAAAAAACCTTTCCTGCCCCCTCCCCAAGTCCTTCCACTGCGGCTTCCCGCGGAAAATGCCCTTCGGGAAGATGGATCCCAGCTGCACCCTCGGCTTCTACGCCCCGCGGCGCGGAGCTGGAGCAGCTCTGGGGGGACCTGGCCCGGGTGAGTGAAAGGCGGGGTTCGGGGGGTGCTGAGCCCCCCCATTTCCCAGGTGCTGAGCCCCCCCCATTTCCCTGTTCTGATCCCCCCTTTTCCCGGTTCTGACCCCCCCCTTTTCCCACTGCTGATCCCCCCCCATTTCCCAGTACTGACCCCCCCCCATTTCCCTGTTCTGACCCCCCCCATTTCCCGGTTCTGTCCCCCCCATTTCCCGGTTCTGTCCCCCCCCCATTTCCCGGTGCTGACCCCCCCCCATTTCCCGGTTCTGTCCCCCCCATTTTCCGGTTCTGACCCCCCCCTTTTCCCGATTCTGTCCCCATTTCCTGGTGCTGACCCCCCCCCCCCCCATTTCCCGGTTCTGTCCCCCCCATTTCCCAGTTCTGACTCCCCCCTTTTCCCGATTCTGTCCCCATTTCCCAGTACTGACCCCCCCATATTCCCGGTTCTGTCCCCCCCCATTTCCTGGTGCTGACCCCCCCCCATATTCCCAGTTCTGACCCCCCCATTTCCCGGTGCTGACCCCCCCCTTTTCCCGATTCTGTCCCCATTTCCTGGTGCTGACCCCCCCCCATTTCCCGGTGTTGTCCCCCCCCATATTCCCGGTTCTGACCCCCCCCCCATTTCCTGGTGTTGTCCCCCCCCATTTCCCGGTTCTGACCCTCCCCTTTTCCCGGTTCAGACCCCCCCCCATTTCCCGGTTCTGTCCCCCCCATTTCCCAGTTCTGTACCCCCCATTTCCCAGTTCTGTTCCCCCCTATTTCCCGCTGCTGACCCCCCCATTTCCCAGTACTGACCCCCCCCATTTTTCCCGGTTCTGACCCCCCCTTTATTCCAGGTGCTGGCCCCCCCCCTCGGCCCCGGAGCGTTCTTACCCCATTTTCACCCTGGCCGAGGGCCACGCTCAGGACCAGGCCCTGGACGCCCCCCCCCGGGCCGCCCCCCGCCCCCCCCCGGCGGGGGAAACGCCCCAAAAAACCCAAAAATCCCAACTCGGAGGAGTTCGTTCTGCTGTGACCCCCCCGAGCCCCCCCAAACACTGGATGGGCACTGCCCCCCCCTCAAATTGGGGCTGGTTTGGGTCACTACTGCCCCCCCCCCCCCCCCAAATTCCCGGGACCCCCAAATTTCTGGGACCCCCCCAAATTCCCGGGACCCCCCATTCACTGTCAGAGGCTGCTCAGGGTGGGGGGGGGGGGGTTTATTTATTGCTCCACTCAGGACCCCCCCGGCCACGCCCCCCCCCCCCCAATAAAGAACTTGAATCGAGCTCGGCCTCCCCGCCCTGTCCCGGGGCCTTTTTGGGACATTTCCGTTGTTTTTTGGGGCGTTCTGGGGCTTTTTTGGGACATTTCCGTTGTTTTTTGGGGGTTTCCGGGGCTTCTCCTTTTTGAGGCGGTTTCGTTGTTTTTCTGGGAATTTCGGGTGTTTTTTTCTGGGGCTCTCAGGTGTTTTCCTGGGAGTTTGGGGCGTTTTTCCTGCGCTTCTGTTTTTTCCCATTGACGGCTGCTGTTTTCCCGGGATTTTGCCCTGGGTTTTTCCCGGGATTTTTCCCAGGATTTTTCTCGTTTTTCCCGGGGTTTTTCTCTGGATTTTTCCCGGTATTCCCGGGGTTTTTCCCAGGATTTTTCCCTGAGTTTTTCTCGGGGTTTTTCCCAGGATTTTTCTCTGGATTTTTCCTGGTATTCCCAGGATTTTCCCCTGAGTTTTTTCCCGGGATTTTTCTCTGGATTTTTCCCGGTATTCCAGGATTTTTCCCTGAGATTTTCTCGGGGTTTTTCCCAGGATTTTTCCCGGTGTTTTCCCCTGAGTTTTCCCCGGGATTTTTCCCAGGATTTTTCTCGTTTTTTCCCGGGATTTTTCTCTGGATTTTTCTCGTTTTTTCCCGGGTTTTCTCTCAGCATTCCCGGCGTTCTTCCCGCGCTTCTCGGGGCCCTCCCCTCGCTCCTTCCCGCGCTGCCTCCGGAGCTGCCGGAACCGGAGCCGCCGGGGGTTGAGGCCGAAGGCTTCCAGCCTCTTCCCGCTGAACTCGCGGCCCCCCAGGCGCACGGCCCCGCCCAGGGGGCCCCCCCCCCGCCGCCGGGGACCCCCGGGGTTTTGGGGGGCAGCGGGGGGGGCCGCGGGGGGCTCCCCTTTCTCCTCCTGCTGCCGCTTCCTCTTCTCCCGGCGCTTCTTCCCCAATTTCGGCTTCGCCGGCGCCACCTTCCTCCTCCTCGGGGCTATGATGATGATGATGATGATGATGATGATGATGAGGGGGGGTCGGGGGGGGGTGCAAACACCCCAAAATCCCCCCCACGAGACCCCCCCCGCCGTACTCAGCCACGAGGGATCTGAGGATCTGCAGCTTCTTGCTGAGGTTCTGCGCCCGCCGGCTGTAATTGGCCTGGTCCTGCCGCTCCTCCTGCTCCGAGCTGCCAGGGGAGGGGTCCGTGAGACCCCCCCCCAAATCGCGGGGGACCCCCAGGACCCCCCCGGAGCCCCATCCTCACCGGTACATGCAGGTCTTGCGCAGGGAGCACCAGCGGTTCAGCTCTTTGTCATCGGCCGCCAGGATCTGGGGGGACATTGGGGGACATTGGGGGGTTTGGGGAGGGTCTGGGGGGGGTCCCGGCGCCCCCCGGGATTTGGGGGGGGGTCCAGGGGGCTCTACCTCGTCCGTGGTGAGGCCGAAGTCGCAGGGCAGCACCCGGCGGGTACTTGAAGCGGCAGGGGAGGTCCCCCGACCATGTCCTCGAAGTCCAGGGCGTAGAACTCGTCCAGGTTACTGCTCGAAGGGGGCCCAGGGCTGCAACGAATGGGGGCGTCTGGGGGGGGTCCTGGGGGTCTGGGGGGTGCTAGGAGGGGTTTGGGGGGTCCTTTCAGCAGTTTCTAGAGGGGCTTGGGGGGTCCTGAGTTGGGTTTAGGGGGGTCCCAGGAGGGGTCTGAGGGGTTTGGGGTCTGCCAGAGGGGTCCCTGAGTTGGGTTTAGGGGGTCCTGGAGGTCCTAAGTTGGGTTTGGGGGATCCTGGGGGGTCCTGGGGGTCCTGATTTGGGTTTGGGGGATCCTTGGGGGGTCCCAGAGGGATCCTGAGTTGGGTTTGGGGGGGATCCTGGGGGGTCCTGGGGGTCCTGATTTGGGTTTGGGGGATCCTGGGGGGTCCCAGAGGGATCCTGAGTTGGGTTTGGGGGATCCTGGGGGTCCTGAGTTGGGTTTGGGGCTCCTGAGTTGGGTTTAGGGGGTCCTGGGGGGTCCCAGGGGGGGTTTAGGGGGTCCTGAGTTGGGTTTGGGGGATCCTGAGGGGTCCTGGGGGTCCTGAGTTGGGTTTAGGGGTCCTGAGTTGGGTTTGGGGGTCCTGGGGGTCCTGAGTTGGGTTTAGGGATCCTGGGGGGGTCTCAGAGCCTGTGGGGTCCCTCAGGGCTTTGGGGAGGGGGCTCAGGGGGGTCCCCCCCCCCCTCTCTCTCAGAGGTTTTGGGGTCCCCCCTCGCTCACCGGGGTCGAACGGGGGCTTCTCCCTCTCCAGGGCCTCCCGGAGCCGCGTCCGGCGCCGCCGCTGCCCCCGCGCGACCTCGGGGGGGGGGCGCCCGGCCCGGGGGGGCCCCGGGGGCGAAATCGGCGTCCATCTGTGGGGGGGGAGGGGCGGGGTCGGTGGGGAGGGGCTGCACCCCCACCCCCCCAATCCGGGACCCTCCCCAATACGGAACCCCCCCCAATCCGGGAGGAACCCCCCCAATCCGGGACCCTCCCCATCAGGGACCCCTCCCCAATCCAGGACCCCTCTCAATCGGGGACCCCCCAATACGGAACCCCCCCTCATCAGGGATCCCCCAATCAGGGACCCCTCCCCAGTCCGGGACCCCCCCAATCAGGACCCTCCCCAGTCTGGGACCCCCCCCCCAATCCAGGACCCCCCCAGTCCGGGACCCCTCAATCTGGGACCCTCCCCATCAGGGACCCTCCCCAGTAGAGGACCCCTCCCAATCCGGGACCCCCCCATCAGGGACCCCCCAATACAGGACCCTCCCCAATCCAGGACCCCTCAATCTGGGACCCCCCCAATACAGGACCCCCCCAATCTGGGACCCTCCCCAATCTGGGACCCTCCTCATCAGGGACCCCCCCCAGTCCGGGACCCCCCCAGTCCGGGACCCCCCCAATACAGGACCCCCCTCCTCATCAGGGACCCCCCCCCAATCAGGGACCCCTCCCAATCTGGGACCCCCCAATCCGGGACCCCCCCAATCTGGGACCCCCCCCCCAATCCGGGACCCCTCCCCAATCTGGGACCCCCCCAATACAGGACCCCCCCCAATCCTGGACCCCCCCAATCCGGGACCCTCCCCAATTCAGAACCCCCTAATACAGGACCCCCCCCCCATCAGGGACCCCTCCCCAATCCGGGACCCTCCCCAGTATGGAACCCCCCCAATCTGGGACCCTCCCCAATACAGGACCCCTCCCAATCTGGGACCCCCCCAATCCGGGACCCTCCCCAATTCAGAACCCCCCAATACAGGACCCCCCCCCCAATCAGGGACCCCTTCCCCAATCCCTGTGCAGAGTTCAGCTCTGGCGTGGGGGGGTCACAGTTTTGGGGGGGTTCATTCCAAGGGGGGGGGTGTCCAAAATTTTTGGGGGGCTCATTCTGAGGGTGGGGGGGGGGTCACAATTTTGGGGGGGGGGGGGAGTCAAAATTTGGGGGGCTCAATCCGAGGGTGGGTCACAGTTCTGGGGGGGCCCATTCCAAGTCACAGTTTTGGGGGGCTTGTCATAGTTTTGGGGGGGGGGTCACAGTTTTGGGGGGCTCATTCCAAGTTGGGGGGGGGTTGCCGCAGTTTGGGGGGGTCACAGTTTTGGGCAGGGGTCGCAGCTTTGGGGGCCACTCCAAGGTGCAGGGGGGGGGTCACAGTTTTGGGGGGGTTCATTCTGAGTTTGGGAGGGTCACAATTTTGGGGGGGGTCTCCTCTTCCTCCTCCTCCTCACCACGAAGTCGGGGTCCTCGCAGTGCGGCTCCCTCGGGGCTTCTTCCTCCTCCTCCTCCTCCTCCTCCTCCTTTCCCGTCCACCGCGTCCCAGTTCCATTCATCTTGGGGGGGGCACACACAGGATTGGGGGGGGTCCCACACACACCGGGGACCCCCCCGGGACCCCCACTCACCATCCAGCCCCTCCTCCTCCTCAAACTGCGGCTTCTCCTCCTCGCCCCGGCCGTAGTAATCGGCCCCAAAGCATTCCTGGGGGGACAGGGGGGCTCAGGAAGGGTTGGGGGGCTCAGAGTGGGGTTGGGGGGCTCAGAGCAGGGTTTTGGGGGGGATTTTGGGAGGCTCAGGGGGATTTTGGGAGGCTCAGGAAGGTTTTGGGGGGCCTCAGAGCAGGATTTTGTGGGGCTCAGAGCGGGGTTTTGGGGGGGATTTTGGGAGGCTCAGGGGGGTTTGGGGGGCTCAGAGTGGGATTTTGGGGGGTTTTGGGAGGCTCAGAGGGGTTTTGGGGGGCTCAGAGCAGGATTTTGTGGGGCTCAGGGGGGTTTTGGGGGGCTCAGATTAGGATTTTGGGGGGGATTTTCGTTTTGGGGGCTCAGAGCGGGTTTTGGGGTGTATTGGGGGCTCAAAGAGGAGTTTTGGGGGGATTTTGTGGGGCTCAGGGGGTTTGGGGGGCTCAGAGTGGGATTTTGGGAGCTCAGAGCCGGGTTTTGGGGGTGATTTGGGGTTCAGAGTGGGGTTTTGGGGGGCTCAGAGCCGGGTTTTGGGGTTCTGGGGGTCACCCACGGCCATGAGCTGATCGTGGCGGGCAGGATCGAAATCCTCCTGGAGGAGGGCGAGGCTGAGGCCGAAGGCTCCCGAGCCCGAGGCCTCCTGATCCGCGCCAGGCGCGCCCTGAGCTCCTCGCGCTTGAGGTTCTTGAGCTGCTTCAGCTCCTCCCTGCGCCGGGCCCGCTCCTGGGGGGGCACAGACGGCTCAGGGGGGGCCGGGGGGCAGCCTGGGACCCCCCCCCGGACCTTCCTCCCCACCCTCACCTTCCTCTTCCTCTCGCGGAGCTGCTCCCGCCGCTCCTTGCGCCGCTCGTCCCGGCGCCGGACCGAGGAGGGGATGGAGCGGGGGAAGCTCTGGAGCTGGGGAGGGGGGAAATAAAGGGGGTCAGGGACCCTCTGGGGGTGCCCCAAAATCAGGGACCCCCCAGAATTACCCCCAAAATCAGGGACCCCCGGGGGTGCCCCAAAATCCCAAAATCAACCACCCAGGAAAAGGGGTCAGGGACCCCCAAAACTATCCCCAAAATCAGGGATCCCCGGGGGTGCCCCCAAAATCAGGGACCCCCAGGGAAAGGGGTCGGGGAGCCCCAGAACTACCCCCAAAATCAGGGACCCCCGGGGGTGCCCCCAAAATCAGGGACCCCCGGGGAAAGGGGTCAGGGACCCCCAGAATTACCCCCAAAATCTGCCCCACTCAGAGAAAGGGATCAGGGAGCCTCCAGGGACCCCCGGAACTACCCCCAAAATCTGGGACCCCCCAGGGAAAGGGATCAAGGACCCCCAGAACTACCCCCAAAATCAGGGACCCCCAGAATCTGCCCCCAAAATCAGGGACCCCCAGGGAAAGGGGTCAGGGACCCCCGGGGTGTTCCCAAAATCCCAAAATCAACCCCCCAGGGAAAGGGGTCAGGGACCCCCAGAATTACCCCCAAAATCAGGGACCTCCCCAGGGAAACGGGTCAGGGACCCCCAGAATTACCCCCAAAATCAGAGACACCCAGAATTACCCCCAAAATCTGCCCCCCAAAACCAGGAGCGCGCAGTGGGAATGCCAGGATTCGTGGTGGGGGAAATAGAGGAGAGACCCCCGAACTTCCCCCCAAATTCCACCCTGTGAATCCTCTCCTCCCCCAGCTTTTACCCCCTGACCCCAATTTCACCCCCAGCCCCAATTTCACGCCCCCCAGCCCCAATTTCGGCCCCACCTGGGCCGCCCCCGGCTCCTCGAAGCGGAAGTTGTGGCGGCGCTCGAAGTCCTGCTGGCGCTGCAGGAACTGCTCCCCCTCGTCTGAGGAGTCCTCCAGGGCCAGGCTGGGGGCACAGGGGGGTCACGGGGGGTCACAGAGGGGTCACAGGGGTCAGGGGGGGTCATTGGGGTCAGGGGGGGTCATTGGGGGTCCCCACTCCGGGTCCTGTGGCTGCTGCAGGAGCTGCTGCCCCTCGTCCCAGGGAGGGTGGGGATGGTCTGGGGGGGGGCTCTAAAGGGTCTGGGGGTGCTCTGAGGGGTCTGGGGGTGCTCTGAGGGGTCTGGGGGTGCTCAGAGGGGTCTGGGGGTGCCCTGAGGGGTCTGGGAGATGCCCTGAGAACTCTGGGGGTGCCCAAAGGGGGTCTGGGGGTGCTCAGAGGGGTCTGGGGGCGCCCAGAGGGGTCTGGGGGTGCTCTGAGGGTGCTCTGAGGGTGCTCTGAGGGTCCAGGGGCACCCTGAGGGGTCTGGGGGTGCCCGGAGGGGTCCGGGGGTGCCCAAAGGGGTCCGGGGATGCCCAAAGGGGGTCTGGGGGTGCCCAAAGGGGTCTGGGGGTGCTCTGAGGGTGCCCTGAGGGGTCTGGGGGTGCCCTAAGGAGTCTGGGGGTGCCCTAAAGAGTCTGGGGGTGCCCTGAGGGGTCTGGGGGTGCTCTGAGGGGTCCGGGGGTGCCCTAAGGAGTCTGGGGGTGCCCTAAAGAGTCTGGGGGTGCTCGGATGGGTCTGGGGGTGCCCTGAGGGGTCCGGGGGTGCCCTGGGGGGTCTGGGGGTGCCCTGGGGGGTCCCGCTCACCCTTCCTCTCCCCGCTCCTCCTCCTCCTCCTCCCGGAAGCCCTTGCCCAGCAGGTAATCCCGCAGGAAGCGCTCGCCCGGCTCCAGCCCCGGGTCCGACCAGAACCTCTGCAGGGGCTCCTGGGGGGAAATGGGGCGGGGGTCACCCCCAGGACCCCCCTCAGACCCAGCCCCAGAGCCCCCAGAGCCCCCAGCCCTCCCCAGACCCATCCCCAGAGCCCCCAGAGCCTCCCCAGAGCCCCCAGCCCATCCCCAAAGCCCCCAGAGCCCCCAGCCCTATCCCCAGAGCCTCCCAGAGCCCCCAGCCCCATCCCACAGCCCCCAGACCCTGAACAGAGCCCCCAGCCCCATCCCCAGAGCCCCAGCCCCATCCCCAGCCCTCACCAGGTCCTGCAGGGGCTCCGGGGGGGGCTCGGCCTGGCCCCGCAGCCATTGCAGGTACTGCAGCTCCTCCTCGGCCTGGGGGGACATGGGGAGTGAGAGACCCCCAAAAATCCCCAAAAACCTCCCCAAAAACCCCCCCAAACCCATCCGGGATCCCCTCAGCCTGGGGGACATGGGGAGTGAGAGACCCCCCAAAAACCCCCCCAAAACCTCCCAAAAATGCCCCCAAACCCACCCAGGATCCCTCGGCCTGGGGGGAAACAGGGAGTGAGAGACCCCCAAAACCCCCCAGAAACCTCCCCCAAAAACACCCCAAAAACCCCAAACCCATCTGGGATCCACAGCACCCCCTGAGACCCCAAACCCCCCCAGGTACTGCTGGCCTGGGGGGGGACATGGGGGGCACTGAGAGACCCCAAAAACTGCCTTGGGACCCCCCTCCCCAGAACCCCCAAACCTCCCTGGGATCCCCCCCCAGAACCCCCAAACCTCCCTGGGATCCCCCAAAACCCCCCTGGGACCCCCAAACTTCCCCCCAAATCCCCCCCAGGACCCCCAAAACCCCTCAGGAACCCCAAACTCCCTCCCAGGACCCCCAAATTCCCCCCCCAGGAACCCCAAACTCCCCCCCAGGATCCCCAAACTCCCCCCCCCAGGAACCCCAAATTCCCCCCCAGGAACCCCAAACTCCCCCCCAGGACCCCCAAATCCCCCCCAGGACCCCCAATCCCCCCCAAAACCCCCCAGGACCCCCCCCCCCCAGCCCCCCCTCACCTTCTCCTCCCGGCTCCGGACCCGAGCCGCAGCAGGGCCCCGCCCCCCCCTTCCTCCTCCTCCTCCTCCTCTTCCTCGCTCTCGCCACGAAGGCTCTGAAACTGCAGGGGGGGGAAAGGGGAGGGGTCCAGGGTCACCCCCCGGTGCCCGAGACCCCCCCCAAAAAATCCCAGAGACCCCAAAAAACCCAGGGATCCCAAAAAACCTCAGAAACCCCCAAAAAAAACCTCAGAAACCCCAAAAAAAAACCTCAGAAACCCCAAAAAAACCTCAGAGACCCCTCCCCAAAAATCCCAGGGACACCCCCAAAAAATCCCAGAGACCCCAAAAACCCCAGGGATCCCAAAAAACCTCAGAAACCCCAAAAAAACCTCAGAAACCCCTCCCCAAAAACCCCAGGGATCCCCCCAAAAACCTCGAGACCCCCAAAAAATCCAAAAGCCCCCCAAAAAACCCCTCGGGACCCCCCCTCACCTCTCCTTGAGCGCCCGCTGCTCCTCGGCGTAGCTGGGGGAGGCCTCGGCCTGGGGGGGGAAATGGGAATTTGGGGGGAAAAAATGGGGATTTTGGGAAAAAAAATGGGATTTTGGGGGGAAAAATGGGAATTTGGGGGAGGGAAATGGGGATTTTGGGAAAAAAATGGGATTTTAGGGAGGGAAATGGGAATTTGGGGGGGGAAATGGGAATTTGGGGAGGGAAATGGGATTTTGGGGGGGGAAATGTGAATTTTGGGGAAAAATGGGAATTTGGGGGGGAAAATGGGATTTTGGGGAAGGGAAATGGGAATTTGGGGAGGGAAATGGGAATTTGGGGGGGGAAAGGGGAATTTGGGGAAGGGAAATGGGATTTTGGGGGAGGAAAATGGGAATTTGGGGGGGGAATGGGAATTTTGGGGGAAAAATGGGAATTTGGGGGGGGAATGGGAATTTTGGGGAAAAATGGGAATTTGGGGAGGGAAATGGGAATTTGGGGAGGGAAATCGGGAATTTTGGGGGGGGAAATGGGATTTTGGGGAGGGAAATGGGAATTTTGGGGAGGGAATGGGAATTTTGGGGGGGGGTCAGACCTCTCCCTCCTCACCTTCCTCCGCTTGGCCGCCGCCTCCTCATCCTCCTCATCCTCCTCGTCCACGTATTTGCTGCGGGGAGAGGAAGGTCAGGGCAGCGCGGGGGGGGCTCAGGACCCCCCAAATCCCCCTCCCCAATTTCCCCTCCCCAATTCCCCCTCACTCACCCCTCGTGCTCCAGCACCACCTTCCTCTCGTAATCCTTCAGGAACATGGGCCGGGCCGCCCGCTCTTCCTCCTCATCCTCATCCTCCTCATCCTCATCCTCGGACTCTGGGGGGGCTCAGGGTGAGCTCGGGGCGGTTTTGGGCCCCCCCTGCCCCGGGTTCGGGACCCCCCCCGGCCCCGGTACCGTGGCGGGTGTAGAACGTGGTGTCCTCCCGGTAAATGCGGGGGTCCCGCGTCTTGAGCAGCGCCAGGCGTCCGGTAAAACTCCCGCTCCTCACGGGGGTCCAGGGCCTGCCGGGGCACCGGGGGGGTCACCGGGGGGGTCACCGGGGGGGGGTCACGGGCACCGGATCCGCCCCCCGTCCCCGCGCTCACCACATCGTCCCCGCTGGACTCGGAGCTGGAGGCTGTCCGCCGCTGTCCGCGGTGTCCCCGTAACGGTCCCGCACTGCCGGGGGTACCGGAGCGCTCAGCACCGGCGGAAACGGGCACCGGGGGCGCCGGGACCAAACCGACACCGGGGGGAAACCGGCACCGGGAACGCTCAGCACCGGGGGCGCCGGTTTCCCCCCGATCGCGGGTCCCGTCCCCGGTCCCGTTTTCCCCTTCTCCCGAGCTCGGTTCCCGGTCCCGCTTTCCCCGTTCCCGGTGTCTCACGGCGCTGCAGCTCCTCCCGCTGCCGGTACCGCCCGGTCCCAGGCCCCGTTCCCGGTTCCCCCGGTTCCCAGCCCCGTTCCCAGCCCCGTTCCCGGTGTCTCACGGCGCTGCAGCTCCTCCCGCCGCCGGTACCGCCCGTAGCGCTCCGCGAACGCCGCATTCACGCGGAGCTCGGGCTCCGCCATGGCCGCCCACGTGACCGCCCGCCACTTCCGGATCCGCCGCCACGTGACGAGGACGCCCCGCCCCTCCCTGCGCCGGGCAGCCCCGCCCCTTCCCGCTCTTAAAAAGGCAACGGCGCCCAAAGAAGCGGGTGGGGTCCACCGCGCGCCTCTCACCCGGACCCCCAAACTGGGACCGGCACCCCCCGCTCTGTTTCCACTCGAGACCCCCCCAACACCCCCAGAGCCGCGGGACGGCGTCTCAGCTCCATCTTTATTGGGGCAGAGCAGCGGGGTGGGCGTGGGGGGGGAACTGGAGATGGGGAGGGGTCCATGGGGGTCCATGGGAGACCCCCCCCCCCTCAGCTGGTGCGGATCTGGTAATCTGCAAGACAGAGACAGGAGGTGAGCTGGGAGGCCAGGGATGGGGGTCTCAGGGGGTATTTGGGGGTCCCGGGGGGTATTTGGGGGTCCTGGGAGGGTTTGGGGGTCCCGGGGGTCCCGACTCACCCCCGCTCTGGGTGATGTAGCGCACCCAGGGCAGCGCCTGGTACCCGCTCTTCTCGATGATCTTCATGTACCGCACCTGGGGGGGCACCTGGGGAGTCACCCCCACCCCAAAAAGCCCCCCCGGAGCCCCCCACCCTCTCCCTACATCCCCCAGGATCCCCTCCTGGAGACCCCAGACCCCCGGACCCCGCCTGTCCCAGCCCCAAATCCCCCAGGATCCCCTCCTGGAGACCCAAGACCCCGCCTGTCCCACCCCCAAATCCCCCAGGCTCCCTCCCAGGGACCCCAAACCCCACGGAGACCCCACTGCCCTCCCAGTTCCCGTCCCCTAAACCCCCCGGGACCCCTCGGGAGCCCCCCGGGACCCCTCGGGAGCCCCCCGGGGCACCTGGATGCCCGAGACGGTGAAGTAGGGGATCTCGAAGCGCACGGCGATGGGCGGCCGCCCCTCCTCCTCCTCCTTCTCCACGCTGGGCAGCCCGAAGTGAGCCCGCATCAGGTGCTCCTTCCCCCCCTGCCGCCCCACAGAAACGCTGGGGACCCCCAGAGCCACCCCCGAACTGGGGGGGACACGGGGACGGGGAGAGGGGGAGAGGCTGGAATAGGGGCTGGGGGACAGGGGGGACATGCAGGACAGGGGTTGGGGCACAGGGGGGACACCCCAGGACAGGGGCTGGGGGACAGGGGGGACCCCAGGCCAGGATTTCAGGGACAGTGGGGACACCCCGGGGCAGGATTTGGGGCACAGTGGGGACACCTCAGGGCAGGATTTGGGGCACAGTGGGGACACCCCAGGGCAGGATTTTGGGGACACCCCAGGGCAGGATTTGGGGGACAGGGGTGACACCCCAGGGCAGGCTGCTCACAGGGAAGGATTTGATGCTCCAGATGACCACGTTCCTCTCGGGCAGGTACCGAGCCGACCCCACCGTGGTCTTGAACTTGGGCGAGTCGGCATCGCTGGGCACCGGCACCGAGATCTCCACGCCGTTGGCCACCGACTGCTTCTTGAACTGGCCCTTGGCCTGTGGGGACACCTGGGGGTCACAGGGGCCGGGTGGGGGTCCCTGAGGGGTGGGGGGGACACCCGGGCTCACCTTGACCATGATCTCCACGCGGCTGTGCGAGAACTTCTCGATGATGGACTCGATCCAGATGAGCGGCTTCACCTGGGGAGGGCACGGGGTCACCCCTGGAGTCACCTGGGGGTCCCCGGGTGTCCCCATCACCCCAGGAGGGGTCCCCAGGTGTTCCCCAGGTGTCCCCATCACCCCAGGAGGGGTCTCCAGGTGTCCCCGTCACCCCAGGAGGGGTCTCCAGGTGTCCCCCAGGTGTCCCCATCACCCCAGGAGGGGTCCTTGCCACAGAGCAAGGTGCTGGACACATGGGGTCACAACCTCACAATCCCATGGGGAAGGGTCCCAGCCCCTCAGAGTGTGGCCCTGAACCCCCAGACTGGGTTTGCAGCCCTATATGGGGGTCCCAGCCCCCCCAGACTGGGTTTGCAGCCCCCAGGCGGGGGTCCCAGCCCCACAGGTGCTCCCAAGCAGGGGTCCCAGCCCCACAGGTGCTCCCAAGCAGGGGTCCCAGCCCCACAGGAGCCCCCCTGACCTGGGTGTGCAGGCGGTAGGACATGAGCTCGAAGTCGCCGTCGGGGGGGATGAAGGAGATGGTGCGGTCGTTGTCGAAGCGGGACAGGCGGACGCACTGGTGGAACTTCACGTCCTCCAGCTCCACCGATTTGTTCTTGCCCCCTGGGATGGAGCAGGGGCTCAGGAGGGGCTCAGGAGGGGCTCAGGAGGGTCGGGGCTGAACCCCCCAGCCCAGCCCAGCCCAGCCCAGCCCGGCACTCACGGCCCGTCAGCTCGAAGAGGACGCGGTCGTTGAGGCCCAGGCGCAGCTCCGGCATCCCCGAGAGGAAAACCTTGAGCTTGATGGTGCCCACGACCTCGCTGAGCACCACGCTGCCGCTGGCGCTCACCTGCGGGCACAGCACGGCCTGCTGGGACGGGACTGGCACCGCCTCTGGCCTGGGCATCGGCCCCGCGCTCGCTGCCCCTGTGCGCGTGACCGGCCCCGGCGGCATCGCCTTCCGCATGGCCAGCACGTCCTGGCCCAGTGCCCAGCATGTCCTGGCCCAATCCTCAGCACATCCTGCCCCAAAACCCAGCACGTCCTGCCCCAAAACCCAGCACATCCTGCCCCAGTGCCCAGCATGTCCTGCCCCAGTGCCCAGCACATCCTGCCCCAAAACCCAGCACGTCCTGGCCCAAAACCCAACACATCCTGGCCCAAAACCCAACACATCCTGGCCCAAAACCCAACACATCCTGCCCCAAAACCCAGCAGATCCTGCCCCAAAAACCCAACACATCCTGCCCCAAAACCCACCAGATCCTGCCCCAAAAACCCAACACATCCTGCCCCAAAAACCCAACACATCCTGCCCCAAAAACCCAACACATCCTGCCCCAGTACCCAGCAGATCCTGCCCCAATACCCAACGCATCCCACCCCAATCCTCATTCCCGCCCCAATCCTCAGCACATCTCAATCCTCATTCCCATCCCAATCCTCATCCCTATCCAACCCCAATCCTCATTCCCATCCCAATCCTCATCCCTATCCAACCCCAATCCTCATTCCTACCTCAATCCTCACCCCAATCCCGTTCTCTTTCCCACCCCAATCCCTCTGTCTTTCCTACCCCAATCCCAATCCCCATCCCTATCCCACCCCAATATCCATCCCCTTCCCACTCCAATCCTCTTTCCCACCCCAATCCCCATCCCTATCCCACCCCAATCCCCATCTCCTTTCCTCCCCAGTCCTGCTCCCTTTTCCCCCCAACCCTCACCCCCTTCCCACCCCAGTCCCCATTCCTACCCCAATCCCCCATCACATCCCACCCCAACCCCATCTCTACCCAACCCCAATCCCCTTTCCCACCCTGGTCTCTCTCCTTGTCCCCCTGTGCCCCCTGTGCCCCCCTGACCAGCAGGTTGACGGCCTCGATGACGTCGATGAACACCTCGTTCTTGTAGCACACTCCCATGTCCCCCTGTGCCCCCCATGTCCCCCCATGTCCCCCATGCCCCCCTGACCAGCAGGTTGACGGCCTCGATGACGTCGATGAACACCTCAGAGTCCCGTGTCCCCCTGTGCCCCCCATGTCCCCCCTGTGCCCCCCTGTGCCCCCCATGTCCCCCCATGTCCCCCATGCCCCCCATGTCCCCCTGACCAGCAGGTTGACGGCCTCGATGACATCGATGAACACCTCGTTCTTCTTGTAGCGCAGCCCCTCGGAGCGCCAGGACACGGCGTTGGTCACCGTGGTGGGCACCCGCGACTTGCCCGTCTCCAGCTTGTTCCCCTCCTGGGTGATGTACCTGGGGAGGGGTCAGGGGTGGCAGGGGGCTCTGCAGGGGGGTCCCGCTGCCCCCCCAGACCCCTCCTCATCCTCACTCCTGCAGGATCTTGCTGTCCGTGGTCTGCGGGAAGCCAAAGTCCATCAGCTCGTCCAGCAGCTCGTAGACGATGACGAAGTTGTCGCGGATGCTCTCCTCCTCCAGCTCCTTGAAATACTCACAGAACACCTGGGGGGGGGACGGGGGGACACCCCCAGCGCCTCTGTCAAACCCCCCCACCCTGAATTAGGGTGGTCCTCACCCCCCCAGACCCCCGGCTCACCTCCACCACCTTGTAGAGGAAGGAGAAGACCAAGGAGGCGTTGCCGTTCTTCTTGGTGGTGGCCACCACTGCGGGCGTTAAGGAAAAAGCGGGGAGGGGGCGGCACCGGAGGGGTCCGCGGGGCTGGGTGGGGGTCCCGGGGGGATTTGGGGAGGGGTCCCCCCGAAGGATACGGTAGAGGTTGGCGTGTTTGATCCACAGGAAGTGCACGGGGCCGTGGGTGAGCACGGGCGTGAGCGTCCCCTCCTCCTCGCGCTGCAGCAGGGCCCCCATGAAGTGCTCGATGTCCCCCAGCCCCACGTCCCCTTTGTAGCTGCGGCTGATCAGCGGCTGGGGGGGGGCGGTGGATGGGTTAGGAATGGGGACACCCCCTCCCCAAAACCGCTCACCCCAAACCTCGGGGTCACGGGGTCACCGCCGTGACCTTGGGTGACCCTCAGGGACACTCGGGTGTCCCCCACCCCGGTGACCCCGGCTGGGTTTGGGAGGGTTGGGGGGGTCACACATGGATCAACCCCCCAACCCCTCCCCAAATCCTGGGGGTCACGGGGTCACCGCCATGACCTTGGGTGACCCTCAGGGACAGAGGGGACGCTCGGGTGTGCCCCGGGGGGGTTTGGGGCGCGGGCGGGGGTCTCACCTTGCCCTTGAGGTCCAGGATGAAGAGGGCGGAGGCGGCCATGGCGCCCGCGCGGCACCGTCACCTCCGGCACCGTCACCTGCCCAGGTGAGCGGCTGCGCCCAGGGCCGCGCGGGGCCTTAAAGGGGACGGCCCAGCCCCGCTCCCCCCCCCCCGCGGGGCGGGGGTCGCACCCCGGTGCTCGAGGGGACCCCCGGGCTCGCCCACATCCATGGGGGCTTCGGCCACCCCCAGCGCGACCCCACAGGTTTGGGGTGGGGGGCGTGGGTGGGACCCTGAGACGGTTCAAAGGGAGGGGGGGGCGTGGGTTTGGGACCCCTGGATGTGCCCCACCCTGGGGAGGGGTCCCTGCACCCCCAAATTCTCCCTCTTTGGGGGTCTCCGCAGCCCCTGACTCTGGTATTCCCCACCCTGGGGGTCCCTGCACCCCCAGACCCCCTGTGCCCCCCATGAGGGGTCTCCACACCCCCCCAACCATCAGATTCCCCACTCTGGGGGTCCCTGCACCCCCAGACCCCCGGAGCCCCCACGGCGGGGTCGCACTGAACCCCCAAAGGTGCCCCCAAGCCCCTCTGGGAGGTCCCCGCACCCCCAGACCCCTCCGGGGGTCTCTGTACCCCAACATCCCCCACTCTGCGCTGCCCCCCAAGCCCCCAGACCCCGCTCGGGGGTCCCCGCACCCCCAGACCCCTCCGGGGGTCTCTGTACCCCAACATTCCCCACTCTGCGCGGCCCCCCAAGCCCCCAGACCCCGCTCGGGGGGTCCCTGCACCCCCAGACCCCCCCCCGGTATCCTCCGGTCCCGCCGAGCCCCGGGCGGGGCGGGACGGCCCCGGGCCCGGCCCCGAGGGCGGATCGGTGCTGAGGGCCGGGCCCGGAGCCGCCCCGCCCGCCCGCAGCCACAGCCCCGGGGCACCGGGGGTACCGGGGGTACCGGGGGTACCGGGGGAGCCGCCGCCATGGACCGGCCCGCGGGCAGGAGGGACCCGAACGGCGATTACGGTACCGAGCATCCCCCCCGCCCCTCCCGGGGCTGCCCCGAACGGCGATTGCGGTACCGAGCATCCCCCCTGTCCATCCCGGGGCTCCCCAGAACGGCGATTACGGTACCGAGCATCCCCCCCGCCCATCCCGGGGCTGCCCCGAACGGCGATTGCGGTACCGAGCATCCCCTCTGTCCATCCCGGGGCTGCCCCGAACGGCGATTACGGTACCGAGCATCCCCCGCCCCTCCCGGGGCTGCCCCGAACCCCCGGCTCTGGGACCCCCGGGTTTGGGACCCCCGGCTCTGGGACCCCCGGCTCTGGGACCCCCGTGTTTGGGACCCTCCGTGTTTGGGACCCTCCGTGTTTGGGACCCCCGGCTCTGGGAAATCCCAGATTTTGGGCACCCTCAGGGTTTTGGAGACCCCCGGGTTTGAGACCCCCAGGTTTGAGACCCCCGTGTCTGGGAAATCCCAGATTTTGGGCACACTCAGGGTTTTGGAGACCCCCGGCTCGGGACCCCTCGGGTTTGGGGACCCGCGGGTATGAAAAAGCCCAGATTTGGGGATCCAGAGGGGCTTTAGACCCTTGAGGCTTGGGGATCCCGCTGGTTTTGGGGGTTTGAGGACCCCCAAGTTTGAGGACACGCAGGTTCAGGGACCCCCCGTGTTTGGGACCCCCCGTGTTTGGGACCCCCGCATTTGGGACCCTCGTGTTGGGGACCCCTCCGTATTTGGGACCCCTCGTGTTTGGGACCCCCGTGTTTGGGACCCCCCGTGTTTGGGACCCCCCCGCGTTGGGGACCCCTCGTGTTTGGGACCCCCGTGTTTGGGACCCCCGTGTTTGGGACCCCCGTGTTTGGGATCCCCGCATTTGGGACCCCTCGTGTTGGGGACCCCCGCGTTTGGGATCCCCGTGTTTGGGACCCCCGCGTTTGGGACCCCTCGTGTTTGGGACCCCTCGTGTTGGGGACCCCCGTGTTTGGGACCCCTCTGTATTTGGGACCCCCGTGTTTGGGACCCCCGTGTTTGGGACCCCCGCGTTGGGGACCCCCGTGTTTGGGACCCCCGAAGGAGGCGGCGGCAGGGACGGGCAGGGGAGCCCCGCACGGTTTGGGGGCGCAGCCGGGGCGGCTCCGGGGGGCTCGGAGCCCCCGGGCCGGGCGGGACCGGCCGCGTCCCCCCCGTTATTCCCGGGCGGGGGCTCCCCCCGGGCCGCCCTTTGTTCGCTGTGCGCGGGGGGGCCCCCGCAGCCCTGACATCACCGGCGGCCTATGGGCGCCGGGATCCCGCCGCCGCTGCCGCCGCCGCTGCCGGTGATTGATCGACCCAAACAGAACCGGGGCGGGGACGGCGCCGGCACCGCCCGCCTGCCCTTTCCCGGCACGAACCGGGCATTGCCCGCCCGTTCCCAACCTCTGCGCTGGGCTCCGCTGCCCGGTACCGGTACCGGGGCTCCGCGGTTGCTCCTGGTGCCGGAATCCCGCGGTAACCCCCGGGTTCCCCCCGGTGCCACCCGGAGACGGAGCCGGTGCCCCCCGGTTCCCCCCGGTGCAGGGGTCGGTTCTCTCCGGTGCCCCCCCGGTGTCGGTGCCCGCTGTCCCCGGTTCCCCCCGGTTCTCCCCGGTGCCGGTGCCCCCTCTCCCCGGTTCCCCCCGGTTCCGGGGTCGGTTCTCCCCGGTTCTCCCCGGTTCTCCCCGGTGCCGGTGCCCGCTGTCCCCGGTTCTCCCCGGTTCTCCCCGGTTCCCCCCGGTGCCGGTGCCCGCTCTCCCCGGTTCCCCCCGTGCGGTGCCCGCTGTCCCCGGTTTCCCCCGGTTCTCCCCGGTGCCGGTGCCCGCTCTCCCCGGTTCCTCCCGGTGCCGGTGCCCCCTCTCCCCTGTTCTCCCCGGTTCTCCCCGGTTCTCCCGGGTGTCGGTGCCCGCTGTCCCCGGTTCCCCCCGGTTTTCCCCCCCGGTGCCCCGCGCAGCCGGCGCTCTCCGGGGCGGGGTTTGGGCCACGTCCGTGCCCCGGAGGGCGGATTTTGGGGTGGCCCTGACGGAGGCGGGGTCGCCTGAGCCCGGCCCAGCCCAGCCCGGCCCAGCCCAGCCCGGCCCGGCACGGACGGGAACGGGAGCGGGAGCGGCGGCGGGTCTGGGGCTCGGGGCGCTCGCCGGGATGGGGGGACACGGGGACAACTACTACGGCAAACACGGTACCGGGGCTCGGGGGCACCTCTGGGGGCTCAAAGCGCGGCCGGGGCTCGGGGGAGGCTTTGGGGGGGCTCCCCCAGCCTCGGGGGGCTCCGTGCGCGGTTCCCGGCGGGTCGGGGGCGCCGCCCGCTGCGGGTCGGGGGCGTTTTTGGGGCTCCAGCGCGGTTTGGGGGCGCCTTTGGGGGTTTCCTGCGGTCGGTTTGGCGCGGAAGGGGTCAAAGGGCCGCGGGGAAAGGCGGAAAACAAACCCGAAATGGGCGGAAAACGGCGCTGGAAGAGGCGAAGCAAAGCGAAAGCAAAAGCGGCCGCGCCCCGGATTTTGGGGGGCTGGGGAGGGTTGGGAGGGGGGGCTCGGGTTTTGGGGCGTTTGGGGCCGCGGGTTTGGGGCCGCCCTGCCCGGCGGCCGCAGAACCGGCCCGACGGCCGGGACAGACCGGGACAAACCGGGACAAACCGGGACAAACCGGGACAAACCGGCTCCGGCGGTTCTGGGGCGTCACCGCGGCGCCGTCCCGGGATCGCTGCCGCCGGTTCTGGTTCTTCGGGGCGCTTTGCAGAGAGGAGATTCCCCCCCCCAAATACCCCAAAGCAAACGCGCTCCCGGCACCAGAAATGCTTTTTGGGGTGACCCCTCCCCAAAAAAAACCAACCCCACATTTCCCTGTCTCGGGGCTGCTGCGACCCCCCCAAAATCCACCCTCAACCCCCGGCCCCCCCCGCCCCGCGCCGCTCCCACGCTGGCTCCGTTCCCACCCTAAAAATAAAAGCGCGGCGGCGGAGGCGGCGCCACGGGGGCTGCGGCGGGGCCGGGGCTGCCCCGGGGCTCGGCGGGACCCCCGGTGCCCCCCCCCGGGCCCGCCCTGCCCCCGGTGCTCTCTGGAATTCGGGGTTTCCGTGGGAGTTCGGGGCCTCTTTGCGGCGGCTCGGGGGCGTTCCTGGGCAGAGCCACCTGTGGGAAATGAGTTTTCTTCAGAGGGAGTCGTTGTTTCCCGGCTCGGGAAGCGGATCCGCAGATGTTTTCCTGGTTTTGCTGATCCCGGGGGGTTTTTTTTGGGAAGCGTTTGGCTCCTTGGCTGTGGGGCGAGGAGGATGAGGAGTGCCTTCCTCCCGGGCCTGCCATCCCTCATTGCTATTCCTGTTCTTCCCCACAGGAACGCCACAGAAATATGACCCGACTTTCAAAGGTCCCATTTATGACAGGTGAGGAGAGCCCCAAAGGTCCCCAAGTTCAGGGTCCTCAAGTTCAGGATCCCAATGTCCAGAGTCCCAAAATCCAGGGTCCCCAAGTCCAGAGTCCCAAAATCCAGGGTCCCCAAGTCCAGAGTCCCAAAATCCAGGGTCCCCAAGTCCAGTATCCCTAAATCCAGGGTCCCCAAGTTCAGGGTCCTCAAGTCCAGGATCGCTAAATCCAGGGTCTCCAAACCCAATGTCCCAAAATCCAGGGTCCCCAGATCCAGAGTCCCCAAACTCAGAGTCTCCAAACCCAGGGTCCCCAAAACCAATGTCCCCAAACCCAGGATCCCCAATCCCAGAGTCCCCAGTCCCAGAGTCCCCAGTCCCAGTGTCTGTCCCCAGTCCCAGTGTCCCCAGTCCCAGTGTCCGTCCCCAGTCCCAGTGTCTGTCCCCAGTCCCAGTGTCCCCACCCTGGCTGTCCCCAGTCCCAGTGTCCGTCCCCAGTCCCAGTGTCTGTCCCCAGTCCCAGTGTCCCCAGTGTCCCCAGTGTCCCCAGCCTGGCTGTCCCCAGTCCCAGTGTCCCCAGTGTCCCCAGTGTCCCCAGTCCCAGTGTCCGTCCCCAGTCCCAGTGTCCGTCCCCAGTGTCCCCAGTGTCCCCACGCTGGCTGTCCCCAGTCCCAGTGTCCCCAGTGTCCCCACCCTGGCTGTCCCCAGTCCCAGTGTCCCGAGTCCCAGTGTCCCCAGTGTCTCCAGTGTCCCCGGTGTCCCCACGCTGGCTGTCCCCAGTCCCAGTGTCCGTCCCCAGTCCCAGTGTCCCCAGTGTCCCCACCCTGGCTGTCCCCAGTCCCAGTGTCCCCAGTGTCCCCAGTGTCCCCACCCTGGCTGTCCCCAGTCCCAGTGTCCGTCCCCAGTGTCCCCAGTGTCCCCACCCTGGCTGTCCCCAGTCCCAGTGTCCGTCCCCAGTGTCCCCAGTGTCCCCACCCTGGCTGTCCCCAATCCCAGTGTCTGTCCCCAGTCCCAGTGTCCCCAGTGTCCCCAGTGTCCCCAGTCCCAGTGTCTGTCCCCAGTCCCAGTGTCCCCAGTGTCCCCACCCCGGCTGTCCCCAGTCCCAGTGTCTGTCCCCAGTGTCCCCACGCTGGCTGTCCCCGCTGCAGGGGCTGCACTGACATCATCTGCTGCGTCCTGCTGGTCGTGGCCATCGTGGGCTACGTCGTGGTCGGCGTCGTGGGTACGTCCTGGGGGTCTCTGGGGTCTGGGGGCTGCAGGGGGGGGTGACCACGGCCTCACTGTCCTGCGCCCCCCAGCCTGGACCCACGGGGACCCCCGCAAGGTGCTCCACCCCACGGACAGCCGCGGGCAGTTCTGCGGGCAGCAGGGGACCCCCAACGAGTGAGTGCCGAGAGACCCCGAATTCCTTCATTCCTTTGGGGCGGGGAGCGAGCGTGGCGGGGGGGTTTTCCCCAAACCTGGGCGGTTTTTTGGTTTGTTTTGCAGGAAAAAACCTTTCCTTTTTTACTTTGACATCGTCAAGTGCGCGAGCCCGCTGGTGCTGCTGGAGTTCCAGTGCCCGACCACGCAGGTACGGCCCCGGCCCCCTCGGGGACAGTTCCCCCTCCCCAAGTTCTGTGGGGCCTGAGCCCCCTCCCCGTGTGCCCCTGCCCTGCAGATCTGCGTCAGCAAATGCCCAGACCGGTACCTGACGTACCTGACGGCCTCCGGGAACGCCGCCTCGCTGGAATATTACCGGAATTTCTGCACCCCCGAGTACAAGGGCCCGCAGAAGGTGTGGGGTGTTGGGGTTCTGGGGTTGTGGGGTGATTCCTGCCCCAGGTGCTGATGTCCGGCTCGCTGTCCCCTTGCCAGGCCGCCATCAATGTGCTGAAGGACAAGGAGTGTCCGGCCATGCTCATTCCCAGCACCCCACGTACGTCCGTAATTAGCGAGGAGCTCGTTAACGACTCGCTGGGATTTTTCCAGAGGCTGTTTGGGGGTTCTGTGGGGGTTTGGGGTTCCCGTTTTCCCCAGCTGAGCTGCCCCCCTCTGTCCCACCAGTGGCACGGAGATGCTTCCCGGCCATCCAGGCCAAGAAGGGCGTCATCATGGTGGGCAACAAGACGACCTACGAGGACGGCTGGGGGAACCACAGGAACGTCACCGAGCTGCTGGAAGGGGCCAAGTGAGTCCCGGGCCCCTCGTTAAGGAGCCGCTTCGTTAGCACTGCTTCGCCTGATTGAGGCGTTTGCCAGGAATCCTGCACCAGAACCCCACGGTGGGAGCAGGGGTGGCAGAGGAGGCAGAGCGTGGATGGCTCCGGGGAATTTGCTGTGCAGAATTGTTGAATTTCCGTGGTTTTGGGGTCCCCCCCGGGCTCCCCCTCCATCGGCGTTTCCCGTGTCCTCGCAGGAAAGCCAACGTGGTGCTGGAGACCCGGCAGCTGGCCATGAAGATCTTCGAGGATTACACGGTGTCCTGGTACTGGATCATCATGTGAGCACGGGGGGCAAAACTCGGCCGTTTCCAGAATTTCACAATCCCCCCACGAGATTTCCACGGAGCAGTGGCGCCTCCCCTGCCCGTCCCCGCCGTGGTTCTCATGTCTGGGGGACGCCGGGAGGGTGGTGACACGCGCCTGCCGGCCTTCCTCCCGCAGAGGCCTCGTCATTGCCATGGCGGCCAGCCTCATCTTCATCGTCCTGCTGCGCTTCCTGGCCGGGATCATGGTGTGGGTGATGATCGTGATGGTGATCCTGGTGCTGGGATACGGTGAGCAGCGGGCTGGGAGCCTCTCCCTGGCTTTTCCCCCGTCTCCTTTCCCCCATTTCCAGCGGGGTTTGCCCTGCAGGATTTCACACGCCGGGTGTCTCCTTCCTCCCTGGCCGGCGTCTCCGGCTCCGCCTCTCTCAATTTTCCGCTTTTTGCCGCAGGAATCTTCCACTGTTACATGGAATACGCCAAGTTAAAAGGAGAAGCGGGGTCAGATGTGTCCCTGACTGACCTGGGCTTCCAGACTGACCTCCGTGTCTACCTGCACCTGCGGCAGACATGGCTGGCGTTCAGTAAGCGTCCGGGAGTTGGGGATTGGGATGGGACCCTACGGGGCACGGGAAGGGGGGGTCACAGATGGTTTTTGGGCTGTTCCCATGAGAAAGAGGGACTTGGTGTTCCTGGGAGGAGATTTCGGCGGGGGAAGGTGAAGGTGGCCCTGACGCTCCCTTCCCCTGCCCAGTGATCATCCTGTGCGTGCTGGAGCTGGTGATCGTCCTGCTGCTCATCTTCCTGCGCAAGAGGATCCTCATCGCCATCGCGCTCATCAAGGAGGCCAGCAGGTCTGGCTGTCCCTGTCCCCAGGGCCGCAGGCGCCCATCGCTCCGGGGTTTAACTGGGGTTTAACCGGGGTTTAACTGGGGTTTAACCAAGGTTTAACCGGGGTTTAACTGGGGTTTAACTATCTTCTCACAGGGCCGTCGGCCACGTCATGTCGTCGCTGCTGTTCCCCTTGTGCACCTTCTTCTTGCTGTGCCTCTGCATCGCCTACTGGGCCAGCACTGCTGTGTATCCTTTCCTCTTCCTCACCCTCTTCCTCACCCTCTTCCTGTTCCCTGCATCCCCGTTCCCACAAGTCCGGTGTCTCCCCGAGCACGGAGCAGGATCTGATGGTGCATCCGCCTCAGATCTCTGAGGTTTAACCCTGGGGTGGAAGAGCAGCAGCGGGACCTTGGGGAGAGCCAAGCGGAGCCTGGTTTGGATTCGGGGCTGGGTTTGGAAAACAACCTTTCCTTGACGGTGACCCGCAGCTTCCTGTCCACCTCCAACGAGGCTGTCTACAAGGTGTTCAACGAGTCCGCGTGCCCCTTCTCTGGGCAGACCTGCAAGCCCGAGGTGAGCGCCTCAGGAAGCCCGGAACCTCTCAGAGCTGAGACCACGGGGCTCGCCCTGTGTTGACCAGCAGCGTTCTGTGTCCTCTGCAGACCTTCAACACCAGCAACGTCACCAAGCTGTGCCCCGACGCCCAGTGCCTCTTCGCGTTCTACGGCGGCGAGACCGCCTACCACAAGTACCTCATCGTGCTGCAGTTCTTCAACGTCTTCATGTTCTTCTGGCTCGCCAACTTCGTCATCGCGCTGGGCCAGGTGACGCTGGCGGGCGCCTTCGCCTCCTACTACTGGGCCTTCAAGAAGCCCGACGACATGCCGGCCTTCCCGCTCTTCTCCGCCTTCGGCCGCGCGCTCCGGTGCGTCCGTGTGTCGCCGTGAGGGCAGCCAGCAGCTCTGCCTGCGAGGCTGTGCCTCTGTAACCGGGGTGGTGCATCCCTAGGTACCACACCGGCTCGCTGGCCTTCGGCTCGCTGGTCCTGGCCATCGTGCAGGTCATCAGGGTGGTCCTGGAGTACCTGGACCACCGGCTGAAAGGTACCAGGGCTGGCAATGGGGAGAGGAGCAGGGCTGGCCTGTGGTGGGAGGGTGGGGTGGGATGAGCTGCAGGGCCCCTTCCAACCCCAGACCGTTCCATGGTGCTGTGAGGTGTTTGCTGGAGCCAGGGGGCTTGGCCAGCCCGCCCTGGTGCCAGGGAATTCATTCTGTGCCGTGCCTTGGGAAACATCAACAGCCAGAGGGAAGAGCGGTCTGGGCCTCACGTTGGGTGCCCAGGGGGCTGAGAACAGGGCTTGGGTGGGGATCCTGTGGCAGCAAGGTCGCACCAGGGACCTTGGCGTGGCTGCGGGGAGATCCGAGCCCTCTGGCTCTGGTGCTGACCCCTCTCCCTGTGCCCCACAGCCGCCGAGAACAAGTTTGCCAAGTTCCTCCTGAGCTGCCTCAAGTGCTGCTTCTGGTGCCTGGAGAAATTCATCAAGTTCCTCAACAGGAACGCCTACATCATGGTGAGAGTCGCCCTAAACCAGCTCCCTCCAAGGGGCTGCCGCGGGCCTGCTCGGAGATTTCCCTGGGAATTGTGGCTCCTGATGCTGCGGGGACACAGAGGTTTGGGGCGTTTTTCAGCTTTTTGGCTGAAAAATCTTGACCTCAGCCACATCCCCCTTGGCTTTGGGGAGGACCTTCTGCGGGTGGGGGTGTTCAGCTCTGGGTCTCTGCGATGCCTGACCCCGCAGCGGATGAGAAAGCCCATGCGGGGTGGGATTTGCACCCACCCCTGGGTGGTGGACTCAGTGCAGCCCTGTTTCTCCCTCCTCTGTGGTGGGTTTTTCCCGCCCCCCAGATCGCCATCTATGGCACCAACTTCTGCACCTCGGCCCGGAACGCGTTCTTCCTGCTGATGAGGAACATCATCAGGTGAGATCTGGGGGGATCACCCCACGCCGTACGCGCCTCGGCTGCTTCTGTGGGAGCTCGGAGCGGGGAGCACGTGCAGAGGCTCGTCCCTCTTTTTGTGTGCAGGGTGGCTGTGCTGGATAAAGTCACGGATTTCCTCTTCTTCCTCGGGAAGCTCCTCATCGTGGGAAGCGTGGGTAAGTGCTGGTTCTGGAAGTTTCCCCTCGAGGCATCCGGCTGCTGTCGCTGGTTGTGCTCCACTCCAATCACCCCTCCCATGAAGCTGGGGTGATTTTCCTTTCTGCCTTGCCCACCCTCGCCCATCCCTTTGCTCTCCCAGGAATCCTCGCCTTCTTCTTCTTCACCCAGCGGATAAAGCTGGTCCAGGACACGGCGCCGCCGCTCAATTACTACTGGGTCCCGATTCTGGTGAGCTGCCCTTTCTCTTTGGGGTGACTCCAGGAGGAGAGGACAGCGATGCCCCACACACCAGGCCCTCCCCGCAGCCGGTGCCTCAAGGGGCTCCTTTGTTGGAGGTGTTTTCCCGGCCCCTGGCGCAATGGGCCCTTTGTTGGTGGCGGTTGGCGCCGCGCCCGGCCTGCGCTGCCCGCTTTGGCCTCCGTCCAGTGGTGGCTGAGGCCTTTTGTCCCCACTCGGGCTGCTCCCAACAGTCCTGCCCTGTTTTCACTTCTCCTCCTTCCTCTGGGGAATGTGGGATTCAGCACTTTCCTCCTCCTGCTGCTCCTGGAGGGGATTCCAGGCTCCCTGTGGCATCAGCGTGTGGCGTCTCTTGCAGACGGTGATCGTGGGCTCCTACCTCATTGCCCACGGGTTCTTCAGCGTGTATGGCATGTGCGTGGACACCCTCTTCCTCTGCTTCTGTGAGTATCAGCAAAAACCCCCTCTCCCACCAAGCTCAGTCCAGTTTGGGGCTTTGCTCCCGGTCCCGGGGTCCCTCCGTGTGGTTTTCTCCTGCTTTTTCTCTCCTGACTCCTCACCTGCGTTCTCACCCGCTCTCCCCTGCCTGCTCCAGCAGAGACCCCCAGCCTGTCCGTGGGCTCCTGCATCTCTCCCTCTGTTTTGGTGCTTTGGGCTCGGTGGAATTAACTACAGCTAACCTCGATTTCCCTTTTTTTCCTCCCTCTTTCCCTTCTTTTCCACCCCTCCCGTGTCTCTGGCCACACGTTCTCCATCCTCCGCCTCCGCCCTGTCTCTCCCTGGCTCCTCCACTGCTTTTCGCACTCTCCCCCCTTCACGGCCGCTTCTTCCTGGGGCTGGAAAAGGCGAAGATCTGGAGAGAAACGATGGATCTCCGGAGAGGCCTTACTACATGTCCCCCGAGCTCAGCGAGATCCTGCTGAAGGGGCACCTAGAACCTTCCAAAAGCGCCGATAGCCAAGGCTAGGCTGCCGCGGGACCCTCCCGGCCCCCTGGCCCCAGCAGCGACTCCCGCGGCGTCACTGTTGTCCCCTGGAAGTCCTTCGAGGGGCGGCAGGTGCCGACCCTCAGCGCCCAGTGGTGTCCAGCCTACCTTCCTGCCCAAAAGTTCCGCGTTCCTGCGCCGACAGAACCCACCCGGAGCCGGTTCAGGGGCTCCCGGTAGCGCCCGTGGCGGTGCCTGGAGATCCTCGTGGTCCTGAGGCAGAGATCCTTGTCCTGGGGCAGGGATCCTCGTGGTCCTGAGGCAGGGATCCTCGTGGTCCTGAGGCAGAGCTCCTCGTGGTCCTGAGGCAGAGCTCCTCGTGGTCCTGAGGCAGGGATCCTCGTGGTCCTGGGGCAGAGCTCCTCGTGGTCCTGAGGCAGGGATCCTCGTGGTCCTGGGGCAGAGCTCCTCGTGGTCCTGAGGCAGGGATCCTCGTCCTGAGGCAGAGCTCCTCGTGGTCCTGAGGCAGGGATCCTCGTGGTCCTGGGGCAGGGATCCTCGTTCCCGCACGAGGGCTCCAGCACGGAGGGACGGGGCTTGGCGGGATGGGCCGGGCGGGTTCCGCCACCCCAGACCGATCTCTGGGCGTTTCCTCTGCCTCTGCTTCAGCCGAGAGCGGCGGAACTTCTTCTTCGCCCTTTCCTCACCCCCTTTTCCTTGCGGTTTTCTCACCCTTTTCCTCACCCCCGTCTCTATGCAAACCGTGGAGTTTTGAAGGATTCCGGGCGAGGTTGCAGAGCTTTGCTGCTTTAGCCCAGCTTTATCCCAGCCATCGCAGGAGCTGTCACTGGTGGCCATTGGAACTTGGTGGCCACGGGGACTTGAAGGGTTTCACTCCAGCCATGGGGAGGGGTTTGAGATTTCTCCTCCAGAAAGCCCAGAAATTATCAAGATTTTAAAAAAACCAGCTCTTGTGGCTCAGCCACAGCTCCCAGGACAAAGCCCTGGTGTTGACGCTCCCATTTCCATCCCAGAAGGATCCAAATCCCTCTCAAAACATCCCCTGGGCTTGGTGAGCCCGGAGCTTTGTGGCTTTGTTTGGTTTTGGGGTGTTGTTTTTCCACGGCTGGGATTTTCCAGCCTCGTTGGGAATTGCTTTGCATTGGCTCCAGAGCTGCTGGGAAGATTTAAGGGCTCCCTCCTACCCTTGGCTCTGTTCAACTTTTCCCCCCCTCGAGAACCAAAACCCCCAAATTTCCTCTTTCTTCTCAACCTCTGCGGGCCATTCCCAGATTTGCTGTGTCAGAAAGAGAGAGGAAAAACCCCTGGCGACCCAGGATGAGCCCAGAGGCTTTGTTGAACCTGGGAGTCGTTGTCAGAGGATCCCAGCACACCAACCCCACGCCTGCCCCCCGCCGCGGGGCCGGGGGTCTCTCTTTGCAGTGGAAGACCTGGAGCGCAACGACGGCTCGGCGGAAAAGCCCTACTTCATGTCCCAGGACCTGAGGAAGCTGCTCAAGAAGACCAACAAGGCCCAGCCCGAGGCCTAGGGCGCCCGGCGCCGCCTGTCCCACGTGGGATTGGCCTCCGTGGACCTTGGACCACCCCTGGCGGGCGTGGGTGGACGGGTGAAACGCGGATTTTCGATGACTCGGCCTTAAATCCTCGCGCGGGTAAACGATGACGAGCTTGGCGCCGCTAACGGGACTCAGGGCCTCCCCTGTGCCAGTGCCACTCCTGGGGTAAAACCCCCCAATTTCTGGGGAGGGTCAGCGACTCCAGAGCGAGTTCGATCGTGTTTGATCCCATTTTGGTCCCAGTGAACCCTTCTGGAGTCAGCCTGGGGGGGATCTGGTGGTGCAGGAATGAGCCAGGAGGTTCAGGCAGCTCCTCGTGGGGTGTTCTCCTTGTGGCCCCCCCTAAAATATTGAATTATGGTTGTGCATTCCTGCCTGGAGAGCTGGGACGGGCTGGAATCGCTTCCCATCCCTCGCTGCCCTTTGTTGACACCCCAGGGCCCTGCTCTGGGCCCTAATTAATGAATTCTTTTAGGAATAAGCTAATTATTGCTTCTGTAGCCAGTGTGAGGGGTGAGGGTGGTGGGGAACGAGGGGGCCACCAGCAGACTTTGGGGCTCGAGGCTCTGCCCAGCTCTTGCACCTGCAGCTTCCACAGATTCCCCCCCCAAAATGTGCATCTGGTCCCCCAAATTTGTCACTTTAGGGCAAACCCTTCCCCAGCTTCCCAAATGCTTCACCTGCGTGAGGGGTTTTGGGGAGGGGGTGTGGGTGGACCTGGGGAGGGGTTTTGGTTTCATTCCAGGTGATTTTAGCAAAGCCAGTGGCAGCCAACAACACCTGCCTCCAGCCAGGAGGGGGGGGAAAAGGGATTTTTTTTTTTCTTTTTTTTTGGTGTGGAAAAGGGGTCAGTTAACTCTAAAATGTAATTAACTCAAAACTGAAGTGTAACAGAATTAACCCTCAGACCCTGTGCAGCCACACGAGCAGAGCCACCACCAGCAGCTGGGCTTTTTTAGGGCTCATTTGTTTAAAAAAAGGACTTAAAAGAAATGCTCTGAGGCTTTGGGGGGACACAATTCCCAGCTCCCAGAGGCTGGGGAGGGGTCCCACCTTTCCCCCCTCCAGCGCTCACCTGGCTCCAGGAATTTGGTGCTGAGGGATCCCTTTGGCTTCTTTTTATCCCAATTCCCTGCCACCTTTGGGTTTTGTATCGTCTGGGGGGGAACGTTTGTATGGAATTATCCAATCCTTTGGGGGCTTTTGTATATTTTGCTTTTCCGGGATGTTTTCGGTTCCGGTTATTTGGAGCTTTTCCAGTGAATTTTTGGGGGCGCGTTTCAGTTTCTCTGACGCCTCCGGGCAGAGCTTCCCTGTCTCTTAATTTCTCTTGATTTTTCTTTTTAAAACTCCCTAAGTTTTCCCCTTTTCCCCCCTCGTTTTTTAGTGCAGCTGATCAGTGGACTCCAGAGGAGTGGAAGGGAAAATTGAAGCCCAAAAAATGAAGGAAAATGTAAAACTAGAAAGGGGAAGGGAAAGGCAGAAAAATGAAGGGAAAGGTAAAAACAAAGCTAAAAAAAGTAACAGTAAAGCTCAACAGAAATGATCAAATGAAGCTAAAAAGAGGCAAATCCTCCCTGTTTGGGACGAGTGGGAATAATTCAGGGAATAATCACCAGACCTTGTTCCACTTACAGCCATTCCAGCACATGTCCTGCAGCTCCTGATGCTCATTCTGGATTAATTCAGTTTTTTTTTCCGCTCCCTGTGCAGGTTTCAGGGTGGATTTGGTTTTATTTCTGCTCAGAATGTTCGTGTTGGGGGCAAATTCTCCCTCACTCCTCGATTTTCAGCTGTTTTCCTCCCAAATCCTGACCCTTCGGGTGTGGGAACCCTGTGGGAAGCAGATGAGGAGTGGCAGGAACTGGGTTTATTTGCTTAAAAAGGCAAAAACCAGCAGGAATTTGGAAGGCTGGGAGGGAAAGCGGTGAAAGAGAGAAGAAATTTGGAAAAATGTGTTCCTGGGGAAGCCGGGCTGGCTCGGCTGCCTCCCAGCAGCACGGGATTTGAGGAGAATTATGGATTTTTATTCCCAATAAACCCAAGTGGCTTTTTAGAGGTGAGGGGAGCAGTGAGGGAAATATTCCTGTAAATTGGGAAATTTACAGGAGTATTTCTGAGGTTTTTTTTTTTGGAAAACTCAGAGCGAGGGCGGCCGTCTGGGGGGAATTTGGTGTCCAGAAAAGCTTCACTCCAAGGCTGGGTTCCTGCTTCCAGGCAAAGCTCCACGTTCAAGGCATTAAACGATGGAATTTAGGAATAACGGCGCTTTTTCCCCCCTGTCTAGAAATGTGGCTTCTGTCCCTACAAACCCGATTGTTCTGCGGGCAGGGAAAACCAACCCTGAATCCTAAACAATGCTAAACCTGCAGGGCTGATGTTTTACAGGAAAATGCTCGTTTTTCACGCGTTTTTGAGGCATTAAGGGTGCTGTGACACTCCGGAGTCTCTGCATCGCGACCAACAATAAAAAAGTGCCTGTTTGGACCTCGTTCTGTTGTGCGGTATCACGGGGCTCTAACGCCTCAGGGCTGACACCAATTCTGCCACGTTTCACCCCAAAATGGCCATTTCAGCATTTGTTCGGCTGATTTCAAAGTGTGTGTGGGGGGTCACTGATTTTAGGGAGTTTTGGCTGAATCTGAGTAATTTTCCAACAATCCCTGAGCTGCAGGATCTCCAAGAGGGGATTTTAAAGGGCAAAGTGTTTGTTCAGACAACTATTTAATGTTGTTTTCCCTGGTCATCAAAAGCAGAAGGTGTTTTTGTGGTCAAGTGCCTCCAAAAAGGCATCTTTGATTGCCTTTTGAGGTTGTTCCCCTCAAAAATTCAATGGTTTTGAGGTCAAGTCAGTGAAAAATCTGCGTTTTTGAGGTCAAACCCCTTCAGAAAAGGTGGTTTTGAGGCCAAACCCCCTCCAAATGAGGTGGTTTTGAGGTCAACCCTTTTCAAATAAGGTGATTTTGAGGTTGCTGCCCTCATAAAAAGGCGATTTTGACATCAAACCCCTCCAAAAAAAGGCACTTTGAGGTCAAACCTTTTCATTCCTTGTCAGAGAAGGATCTTCCCGGTGGAACCCTGGCTGGGCTCCGGTGCTTCGGGGAGTGGCTCGGACGTGTCCCCTCAGGGAGATCCTCCCGGGCCATCGCTCCCCTCACGGCGTCCCCTCAGCCCGCGCCCCCCCCCCGGCCCGTTCCCGCCACCGCTCTCGGACCCGCCCCTCCTGCACCACCCTCCCTCCTCCCTCTGCCATTGGTCTTTCCCTTTGTCCATCGCCTCGTGCCGGGCCACCCTATTGGCCTGCGCCCGCCCCCACGCCGGTAGTCCCCGCCCTCCAGGCCCGTCCCACTGTCCTCCCCGCCCCCTGTCCATCACCCTCCCTCCGCCCTTTCCGATTCGCTCTGCTCCCTGTCCGTCACCCGCCCTCCGCACCCTCCAATTGGCCCGCGTCGGCCGCGCTCTCTATGGCCCCGCCCCACCCGGCGCGCGCGCGCCCCCCGCCGGCGGCGGCCCCGCCCCCGCCGCAGTCCCGGCGCCGCCGCTCCGGCCCCCGCTCCGGCCCCGCTCCGGCCCCGCCGCGGCCGCTCCGGCCCCGCTCCGGCCCTTCCCGGGCCCCGCCGGCCGGGCCGGGCCGGGCCGCCCCCGCGAGGCACCGCCGGCAGAGCCCCGGTAGGAGCCGTGCCCACGCCGCGCGGGGGGGAGCCACGCCGAGCCGGCCGGGCCGAGCCGGGCCGGGCCGGGGCGGTGCTGGGGCGGGAGGAGCCGGTGTGAGGTGGGGGGGGGGGGGGGGGTGTTGAGGCGGGGGGGGCGGCGGGACGTGGTGACCCGGCCCCCCCCGTGTCCCCTCCCTCCCGCCCTGCCCATTGTGTGCAGACAAAATGGCGGCGGTGAGTGAGGGGAGGGTGGGGGGGGGGCGGCCGGGCCCCCTCACGGACCCCCCTCAGCAGCGGCCCGAGGGCCGGGGGGGGATCGAGCCGCCGCCCGGGGAACGCGGGCGTCTCACGGGGCTCCCCCGGACTCCGCTCGTTTCTGGCCGGCGCCGCTTTGTTCGCGCCGCGTTTGCAAATGGCGGCAGCGCCCGGCGGCCCCCGCGCCCCCTCCTCACCCTCCGCGCCCCCTCCTCACCCCCGAGCCCCGCGCCCCCTCCTCGTTTCTGCCCCGCGGCCCTGCCCTGGAGTGAGGACGGGGATGGGGGGTCTGAGGGGGGCCGGGCCGGTCCTTTCCCGACCCCTGGGTGGGATGTTCGGGGGGGCATCATGGAGGAGGTGGGATCACCCCCTTGGAGGGGCTTAAACCCCTCTTCCGTCCCCATCGCACCTCATCCCAGGCCGGGAATTTGCAGTGGGATCATCCCCTTTGGGGGGATTTTAGCCTTCTCCCCGCTCAGGACCAGGATTCTCCTGTGCTCAGCTTTTCGCCGCCTCTGTCCCTGCTCCCTCCCGGTTCCCGCTGCTCCAGCCCCGTTACCCGCGGCCGCTCCGTTTCTGGAGGGTTTAGGGGCACGGGGATCCAGCACCCCCTTCCCTCCGCGGGGACCGAGGGCTTTGTGCGCCCCTGGCTCCGGGATTCCCGCCGGGATCCGCGCTCCCGGCGGTTCCTGGACTGCTCCAGGAGGGTCGTGGTGTTCTGGCTCCTCATCCATGCCGGGCAGGTGCCAAAACTCAGATAAAAGCGGCCGATTCGTTCTTAAAACGCGGCCTTGAGCCCGAGCGTGGCTTCGCCTCTGTCGCGCTTTCCCACGTTCAGGGCAGAAATTCCAGCCTTTTATGTCCTTTGGTTGTTTTTCCCTCCGTCCTCCCAAAAAACGCCTTCGGGAGAGTCACTCCTTCCCTTGGGAGCGCGGGAAGTTTGGTGGATTCCTCCTGCTGGGGGTGGAGTGGAGGAGGGAGTGAGGCCGAAACCAGGTGATATTCCGGAGTTTGTCCCGTTTCCAAGGGCAGGGATTGTTTTTGTCGGGATTGGGCTGCCGGTTTAACTGAGTCTGTGGTTCTTCTCCTCAAGAGACGCAGGTCTGGTGGTGCTGCAGCATCAGCTCCCGCATTTCTCCCTCCAAAAATCTCAGAAGAGGGATAATGGGGACAAAGCTCTGTGGCTGTTGTGATTCTGACTGTAGGAACAGCTGGGTGGGATTTCAACCCTTTCCTTATCCAGCCTGAAGGAAACTGAGGGAATTTTAAGGAAATTAACGGGGCCTGCAGGGCCCAGCCCAGAGCAGAAAGCACCAGGAGATGCCATGTGGCTCCTTGGGAATGGTTCTCCCTGCTCAGCCGGCGCCGGTCGGGGCTTAATTACAATTAAACCCAGATTTATGGCGCTGTTAAGTCATCCTGTGAATGAACTGGCAGGATTGGAATCGGAGGGGTTTCCTTGCATGGAGTTGTGTGTCCGTACAGCGGCTGGAGGGAATGGGATTTCCTGGTTTTTATCCTAAAAATGTGAGCCCCGGCTCTGGGTGAGCTTGGAACAAAAAATGAATTGGAACAAAAAAACGAATTGGAACAAAAGGCTCCTCTGCCCCAGCTGGGGGCGGTTCCCACAAAAAGGCAGGAATTTGGTGTCACTTGGGCTGAATCTGTTGAATTCCAGGACTTCTGGAATTCCCACCTGGATTTCCCAGGGCAGCTGCTCCAGCGTGGAGAGGGGAGTTCTGTCTGCTTTGGAAAGGTCCCATTTCGTGGGAAAACATCTTGGGAATGAAGGGGAATAAGGATTAGATGCTCTGTGCTCCTCCGTTGTGAGCCTGCAGGTCTCGGGGATGTAGGGAGCGGGGAGCTGGGCTCTGGCTAACGAGCTGGGCTCTGGCTAACGAGCTGGGCTCTGGCTAATTGCTGTTCCTGCCTCCAGCTCCAGCGTGTGTGCCCCGGGCTCCGGCCACCCCGGCTCACCCGCTCTCTGTCGCTTTCAGATCCCGCGAGGCCGCGGAGCCGCGACGCTCTGCTCGCCGGCAAAGTCCAAATAAACGCCTCAGAAAAACCCTCAGGCAGGCAGCAGAAAACGAAAATGGTGAGGGACGGGTGGATTCCCGGGCGTGGGGCGAGCATCCTTGTCCCGGAACTCCCTCAGTGTCCCCAAACGTTCCCAACCGTGTCCGCCCTCGCAGCGCCCGATGCGGATCTTTGTGAACGACGACCGGCACGTGATGGCCAAGCACTCGGCCGTCTACCCCACGCAGGAGGAGCTGGAGGCCGTGCAGAACATGGTGTCCCACACGGAGCGGGCGCTCAAAGCCGTCTCCGACTGGATCGACGAGCAGGAGAAGGTCAGCGGGGAGCAGCCGGAGACGGAGTCCATGGAGACGGCGGCCGAGGAGGAGAGCAAGGAAGGAGGGTGAGGAGCGAAGCTGCTGGGTCTGCTTTAGATCCCTAAAATTCACCTAGCTCCCTAAAAACCCTCTTGTGCTGGTGGAAAGTTGTCTTCCCTGGCTGGGGAATTAACCAAGGCAGGCAAGGCTTGAGGGGAGTGCTCCAGGTTGATCCATTCTTCCAGTTGGGTGGGGGGCTCCCTAAAATTCTCATAGTTCCCTAAAAACCCGCTCGTGCTGGTGGAAAAATTGTCTTCCCTGGCTGGGGAATTACCCAAGGCAGGCTTGAGGGGAGTGCTCCAGGTTGATCCTCACGGATCCATTCTTCCAGTTGGGCGGGGGGCTCCCTAAAATTCTCTTAGCTCCCTAAAAACCTGCTCGTGCTGGTGGAAAAATTGTCTTACCTGGCTGAGGACTTGAGGGGAATTAAGCAAGGCTCCAGGCTGATCCTCACGGATCCATCCCCATCCCTCCAGCTGGGTGCAGCATCACCAGATTGTGAATCCCACCCTCTCCTGCTTTTCCCAGGGATCAGAAAGCCACGGAGCAGCTGACGAGGACCCTGCGGGGCGTGATGCGCGTGGGGCTGGTGGCCAAAGGCCTCCTGCTGAAGGGGGACCTGGACCTGGAGCTGGTGCTGCTGTGCAAAGACAAACCCACGGCCAAGCTCCTGGAGAAGGTCGCCGACAATCTGGGAGTGCAGCTGGCGGTGAGTGGAGCCCGTGGGGAAATTCCCTTTGGGGCGGTTCTGCTCCCCCTGTTCTGGCTTGGAGAAGCCTTTTCCAGAGGCGCTTTAGGATTGCTAAATGAATTTGTCCTCATTAATGGTGGAATGGTTTGGGTTGGGATCTTGGAGCTCATCCCCTTCATGGGCAGGGACACCTTCCACAGGCCCCAAACCCTGTCCAGCCTGGCCTTGGGCGCTTCCAGGAATCCTGGGGCAGTCTCAGCTTCCCTGGGAATTCCATCCCAGCCCCTTCCTGCCCTCACAGGGGCAGGAGTTCCTTCCCAAAACCCATCTAAATCCCCCTTTATTCCAGCGTGCAGCCATTCTCTCTTGTCCTGTCCCTCCATCCCTTGGGCCAGGTCCCTCTCAGCTCTCCTGGAGCCCCTTTAGGCGCTGCAAGGGGCCCTGAGCTCTCCCCGGAGCCTTCCCTGCTCCAGCAGAACATTCCCAGCGCTCTGG